CTTTGCAGGGTAACCACGATGTCAACAAAGTGAGTTTTTTTTCTTTTTTACAGTGGTTGCCTTTCCATTAAAATTTCCTCCAAAAGAATGGAAAATCTTTAAATACTTCGCGGAATCGTAGAACAGGATCGACGGAGATCCCCTTTATCTTAGATTTTGCTGGTGCACACGATATTCCATTTCGTATGGTAACTGTGTTCCTTGCTACTTGAAGAAACTGGCCTGTATGATGCGATTTGTTTGATGACGTGCTTCAATTCGAATCAGCAAATTTTTCGTCAAGAAAATTGAAACTCTTGCTTCGCATATTCGCAGAACAGGGCGTCTTTAAAAGGGACCGGAGGATAAGAAGGTCGTTATCCTCTCCTGAAGTGAATAATTCTTTTCAGCGATGGTTTAGTCACTTTGGGTGATATTACTTTGCGTGTTTTCAGACGAAACAGAATGACGTCAGTGTGCGCAGTTGTTCTGGTAATTTTAATGTGTAAACCGTAAAAAAATGTCGGTTATCCGCAAGAACTAATAAAACAGACCGCTATCACCCCGCACCAAGACGGTTTTCTTTGTAATAAACCAGTCGCACCGGACATGAGAGAAAAAGAAACTTCGATCTGACGTCAAAAGACATTATCGTGTGTTGCCATGGAAATGGCATGGCACTCTGTTGTACGTGGAATTTTTCAAGTAGCCAAACTTTAGCGTTAATATTCTGGGCTGGTGATCTATCTAGTGCGATCTTTATCTGACCCAATTACTGTTCCAATTAGTAGGGGTTGTGCAATTGACAATTAACTGTAAGGAACACGCTCTTTGCTCGGCAGACTCAAGTTATAGCCGAGGACAATGTATGTTTCGTGCGTTAAGAAATCGTGCGCGCGCGCTGTTTGAGATAAAATCGAGGCTGTCATGTGTCCACGCCCCTTGTGCATAATTATGAGTTATTTTAAAGTTGAGTGGGACAGTACAAACAGAGGTGTGCAAAGATAAACAAATATATAGGACAATGGGACATAAGCCATAGGACTGAGATAACGCAGAACGAAGCATTGAATTGCATTTTTATCTTATTGAACTTGACGCTTCAAGAGTACAGTAACGGCTGGCTAAACGAATAGTCGAAAGAGAGAGGCTGGAAATTTTTGAAGAGACAAGGACATTGCAAAAGGTGGGCTTTTGTAGGCAAGGCGTAAGTTAAACAAGTCTATTTACATGTTATGTTTTGCAGACTTGCTTTGAGGTTTGTTTTGTAACATAAACTGTTGCAAGGTCGTACGCGGTGGTTATTGAAGGTCTTGGATCTTTGTGTCTCCTAAAATACCTGTTGTTTGTTTAGGTAGCTGTTAGATACCTGCAACTTACTTAGGTAGCTGTTAGATCTCGGCTACGCCTGTAAATTGTATCGCGAACTGTTAACAGCATTTGCTTTGCAAATCGAGTGTTAAATTGGCAAATTCCTTGGATAATAACGGTTTAGCGAGCTAAATACTTGGGTCAACAAACCATTGTACAATTTCTGGTGAAACAAATCCTATTGTGAAAGAAATTTAATTACGAACATCTACGCGACTCTTGCATAGCATATGAAAGGAGTGTTCTAGTTTTATCCTGGGTATCTTATATTCGTTCGCTTGCGGAATTTCTAAACTTAGCTACAATGTGCTTTGGTCGCCTCTGTGTCGCCCGGAAGCAGATGTGAAGCAGAGGTTTGGAATCATTTAGCGGTTTAGCACCAACTTTAAAACTTGTCAAGATTATAAGTTGACAGTTATTAGAGGTCCATAATGTCAGCACTGATAATATTTTTTCATCTCGAGAAAATCCGATTATTCAATGACTCACGAATCCGAGCGTGGCTGAACTGTTTGGAAAAAAGATTTGCTGTACCTTTTTAACAACTGAAATGCATATAGCACCTTTGTCCCGTTCGTGCCTTAAATTAAACAAGGCAAAGAAAAAGAAAAAAGCTAAGGTTAGCTGTGTCTGTTTTCCCTTCAGGAATTTGAAAGGATCAAACTTTTAACGAAGGAAGTTTTTTTTTTAATTTCAGCTTTTTTTGCATACATTTTACAGTTCTCTAAAATGATTTGGTAGTTGCTTGTCTAAAACGATCACCCACTTTCTGCATTTTCCCTGTAGCCTTTCAAATCCTGTTAATACCTGTTATTACTTAGTCAAAATATTTCTTTGTTTCTGATTGGCTAAATGCCCCCTGTTTTCGAATTCGCCATGACCGCTGAATAAAAAAACCGAAGATGCAAGTCTAAAGGCTTAGCCTCCATCTGAAGGGAGAAAACTAACTAAATTCTCACACATTCCAGCAAGAGGAAGGGTTGTTTACAGCTCAGTTTACGAGGAACGGAGGGCTAAAATCAAAACGTTGGATACGTTTGGAAGAGGCCTTTGTATTAAGTTGTGGCATAAAACAAAAAACTGCATTTTTTTTTCAAAACCAGCTAGCGTTCAACAAATTTAGAAGATGTTTGCTGTTAATTTACGATTTTTCTCACGATTGACGTCAATCGTAATGTTATCAACTGGAAAAGGGACGGAAGCAAACACGTCACGCAAGAAGCGGCGTGGCGGCTTAGCCTGTTTTGGCAAATGGCGTTATACGTAGATTTTACTCGTTATACGAAGACAAAACAGTCGAACTACTTTCTCAAAAACATCCCAAGAATAAACAAAAATACCACTGTAATCGAAAGAAGACATTGGCTATGAGAAGAATATCTGTTAGAATAAGCAGATCTCTCATCTTTTGTACAACAGCAAATGCAAAGGGGACATTTTGGAGAATATGCACTTTGATATCAGATCTTGCGTGAACGGGTATACAGACAGCTGCATGTAGGGTGTGTGTGGTGGTGGGGGGGTGGTGGGGTTGTTTGGGGGTAGCAAAATTTCTGGATCTCAACAGCAAACGTAGCCCTGCAAGTATGGCAGAAAAAAAAAACGAAAATACTTGACATGTATGACTTTCCTGTGCAGGATTGCACTCAGGAACAAAACAGTACCCCATACGTTTCTTCCGGCCGTCTTTGTCAAGGCAGATTGTTGAGATCCAGAAATTTTGCCACCATGGCAATGTGACGTCACAATTATTCTCTCTGTACGCACCCTGTTGGGCAATGTACCCCCACAGCTGTAGAGGCTGTATTGGCAGGCTAACTCGCAAGCTGGCAAAAAGGTTGTAAAATCAAAGAGTCTCTTAACCCTGCGTGACCCGTGACAAGAGGAAATAGGACATATTATGAACGGATATATCTTTATTATAATTTTAACGGCTATTCCAAGTGGGTTCTTGAACAGGTTACCGAAGCGCACGATTTATAAAAGCGCGCAAAGTAGCACCGCTGTAGATCTAAGGACAGAGCCATGTGTTACCTTTTTCGCTTCAGTTGTGCGACAAAAACCAGCAAATTCTGAACGCCGGAATTATCTAAATGTCGGTGTGGTCTAAAACGCTAAGACGCAATAAACGCGGCGCACTTTGGCGGTAGTTTTTTTCGGCGAAAACAATCGCTTTGTTTCCGTGTCGGAAATCTTCAGTAACTTGTAGAATGTGCGTAGTGTCATGTACTTCAACTCCACAGTCTCTCTCTTTTAAAAGTGATTGGGGAGCAATTATGCGACATGCCCGAAGTCCAATTCGGTGTCTTCGCCCAATCGGTACACGTGTTACCTTCTTCTATCGGAGGCATATATTTTCTTTGTCGGTTTTTCTAGTTAGACAACTACGTCCACAGTCTATTCAATTTAGACGGGTTCTTGTTGTTCTCTATCCAATTTTTTCTCTTGTACCCTCTTTGTTTACTCTTCATATTTTATCAAAATATTTTTATCGCGAAACCGCATTATTATTGCTGAACATTCATTTCCATCGAAAGCATCACTCATGTATCAATATTTTCGTTGTTATGGATAATTGTCTTATCGCTAGGAAAATATTTACTAACAATTTTCCATTCTCAACTTAAGCAAACAGCTGTTGTCTTTAAGTTGACTCACTTCCATTTACCAGCCTCTCCATATGCGCCGTAAAAAAGGCTATGGCAAGAAAAGTTTCTTGCGTGTCGGTTAAATTTGTTTTCACGGATTAGTCAGTGAGGTAGCCTAGCCAGTACAACTGCATAACAAACATTGTTTGGAATTTGTAATTTTCTGTTTCACTTCTGAGATGTCGGGGGTTTTGTTCTCGTTAAAATACGGTTAGCTGTCATTTAAAGTGGCTCTTTGCGGCAAAGTTTTTACTCTTCACAAACAAAGAGATTGTAACGTTTGAGTCTGTGGACGGCATTCTAAAGTGTGAGCATTCATGTGGAAGCTACTGAGCAGTACCTTCCTGAGATACTGTTTATTTTGCTGTACAAGGTGGAATCCTATGGTGTGACCATTCAAACGAAAGCTAGTGAGTAGCACTTCACTGTGTTGCTCTTTATGTTGCTGTACAAGGAGGTTATAACTTTGAGTCTGTGGATGAAATCCTATGGTGTTACCATTCATGTGGAGCTACCGAGCACAGAGTGTGTTCCTACGGTTACTGTTTATACGCATTGCAAGATGGCTCTACCTTTCGAGCCAGTAGATGCAGTCCTAAAGATTGACCTTTCAACTGAAACTAGGGAGGAGGGCACCAAGTTTGACATCCTTTCCTGTACTAGCTACCCTGGTTCCATCAGCTGTTCTGGAACCGACTTCAAAATTAATGCCAGTATTGTGCTGGTTTCACGTCCCTTCTAACTCCATTCTCTTTTTTCAGACAGTTTCAAAAAGACAAATACAGAGAATTAGACAGGTTTAAACTGCGCCTATCTTAAGATAATTCCTTATGGGGTTAATCCTATTTAACTTCATGCCCCGAAGTCAACATTGGCACAAACGGCGTGCTATGTCGCATGTTTTTGTTGAAACTGAGCCATGTTTGCTTATAGCAGCGGCATGCATGTGTCAGCCAAAGCTAAATCTGATCGTTAACAGCTTTTAAGAGCTTTCCTTATCAATGAGAATTGCCAGCACCAGGTTGAATGTCTAAGAAAACGGATGAGCTGCCTGTTCGGTCAACAAAGATTGAAAGGAATCACCTAGAGCTCATTCTGTGTGGCAAGATCCTGCAAAGGTTGGTGCTTTTGTTGAATAATATTGCCGTCGTTAAAAAGTGCCCAGAATTGACAAAAATGACAAAAACTAAAAAGACAACAAGAAAAATTTAAAAAAATTGAAACAACAACAAAAAAAGCAAATTGTGCCACGCGAAAGTACCGAGAATCGAAGGGACCGTCACATCATTTCATTTCGTACGTGGATTCAACAGCAAAAACCTGCGTACAAAGGCTGCGTTTAGGAAACGGGGCTAAACTGTATAGTGCTTCTGATCTCAATATGCCATTTTTATTTGTTCATCATCTCTGACAGATCAGTTAATTTCTTCCGGTTCATTCACTTTATTGCTTTTTAAGCAGTCTCAACCATTTTTAGCTTCTTTGTTATTTTAGTGTGCCTTCAATTTCTTTAAAGGCGTGTTGTCCCTTTTTATGAAACTCTTCCATCTTGAGGTAAAGAAATTGGGTTGAAAAATTCATCTACTGTCATACACTTAATAAGCTAGTAAAAGTAGCTTGAAGCTCATGAGATATCCACTTAATTTGTTAAGTTATCGGTTCAAGTTTTGCGGTTGATCTTTATTGAGTAACTTGTTTTCTGTGATAGTTAACTATTAAAAAAAGTGTTCGACATTTAGCTAGTTAAAAGTTCGGAAGGAGCAACAATTCCACTAACCTGCCGGCTAATGGCATAATCAAAACTGGCGAACTTTACAGTATAAAAACCTTGAATCAATTCCAGTAAAAGGCACGTATTTTTCAGTTTTAGTTGGCTTTCTTGAGCGATTTATCTTCAAGCCACTTCAACCACGTTGCCAACAAGTACCATCATTCTTCCAGCACTATCTTAGATTGCCCCAAATCTTTTTATTCAGTGGAATCCGTGCGCTATATTTGCCTAAGATCTAGCCAGTACTTAACCTTTCAAAATGAAGGTCGAGCTGTGTCGCATCCGCCGAGAATAACATTTTGCACGCAATACTCAGGCTTGACCACGCCTTTACGTATCTTCAACATGCATACCATCTGTTGTGTTGTGACTTGTTATATTATCAAAGGTGGAACGATATTGAGGATTAATCAATAGGAACTTTTTAAATCCATAATCAGATCCATATAGCAAACGTTATTTAGGCGTCGAGATTGATTACTGGTTGCAATATTGTTGGATTAAAGGATGCTGTAGATTTGTTTCAATCACTCAATGGCACTTTTTAATTAACGTACAGTCGCGCCAGTAGACATGGAGTTCATTTTACAATAAGATCCTTCCAGAAATAATATTTTCTTCCTAATGAAAGCTGTGTTGATAGACTAGCTACTTGAAAAGAAATCATAACAAGCGGTACTCGAAAGGTTCGAGCGGCTATACAAGAAACTACTGACCGTGTCCAATAAGCCTGACAGCTTCAGATGAGACAAACTTTTATGGACGTAACACTCGTATTTCTAGTAAATTGTCCCGTAATGGCGTACTCGTGAGCGTGAAAGGAGGCCCCCTAATTAAATCATTCAAATAGTTTTAGCAGAGTCTGAGCCTTCTCTTTTTCACTAAAAACAAAAGAAAAGAAAAGAAAAGTAACGCAAACAAGTAAAAATAACATATAAGCACATCAGCGGAAAATGACAGACACATCCTTGAAAACAAAGTATAAGCCTCTTTAAGGAAAGGGGGGGGAACCAAACCTCAGCTCCTTCCTCCCGTACTTTGCCTCGGCTTCCCCCCCTTTTTTCTTGAAAGGAATGGTTACGTAATTTTTCCCCACTCATTTCTCCCGCTTCCCTCTCTTTAGAATTCCCCATTCGCCCATTTCCTCTCCCGCCCCCTATTCTTCCGGGCGTCCACACCCCTGTCTTCCCCCATCTAGAACTACCAGTAGACACTACCGGTTATTTTCAAGGCTCCCGCTCTCTCAACTCGGTCCTGAGCGTACGAGAAACCTGACCCGCGTAGATAAATCGGTTTGACTGGTTTATTAACCCACAGAGCACCACTTGAATTTACGTATTCGAGGTCAAGAAGCTAATGTGAAATCTTGCTCAGTCAAACTGCGTAATAAGACAGAACATTTGTTTTCCTTTGGGATAATTCCTAAGCCGGATATGCCGTAACAACCTTGCCCCACCAGGAAGAAATGTTTTAGGCATTGCGTGACTTTAACACTAGGTCAGACAGCTAATTAATTACTTCCGTTGATTAGCTATGGTAACAATTCCTTCTCTAATTAGCACACGCAAACCAGAAAGACCAGAAACTTTCTTCTGTGATCTTTTTGCGAAGTTCTTTGCTAGTTTTACATATTTGCCTTTGAATCGTTGTGTCTTTCGACCTAATTTATCATGAAAATTAGACTGGTACTCCATTGGCCATTTCATAAAGAAAAAGAGAAGTTTTACAATGGTTTCTAATTTAAGGAGAGCACTACATACCACATGTTGGCAGAATGGCCATTAAAAACAAAACATAAGAGTTCTTTGTTTAAAACTAATCAACGCTTACGGGTTAAAATTGAAGAGATCTTTTGCACAGGAGTCACGGAGTTCAGCAATTGAGTGATTGTCTTTTGAGGGAAAAAACATAAACCTTTTTTTATCTGGTTTCAAAACTGTAGATTTTATACATTCTTAAGACTATTTCCACACATTGCGCAAATCCCCACAGGAAAATCATTCGTTTTAAATTACATTTTAACGAATTCAGGTTCTTGTAATGAGCTTGGAAAACCCCTAAGAATCGAGCGGAGTCCTGCGGATTTTTTATTCTTTCGCTCGAGGAGCCATGTTTTTTTCATCGCATGAAGTTTGTGTTCATTATTTCGTGACCCGTCTCCTGCGACCTCTATCCCCACAGGAAGCAAAACCCACAACATCTGGACAATATTCATGGCCTTTCATCACATCTTGATTACGGAGACATGCGAAAGATGCATTGGAAAAGATCCATTGAAGTATCGCTACTCGAATTACCCATTTATCCTGTTGAATGCACTCGAGAAAGACCAACAATCTGATTACGGACTGAATAGTTGTGTTTTTAAGCCATTTAGAGTTACAGACAGGGGCTAAATTTTTTTTGAACAAGTCATTCTGAACGAGATCATTTGAAAATGGATTACAAGGAGATTTATTAAGAGGTCGCCCTTCTATTTCAAGATGCTAAAAAGCTTGGTTTTAGAAAAGGTAGAACCTTTATACCACTATATTATCGTACAAATCGGTCATTTCCTCTGAGGCAAATGTTTTGAAAGAGCGTGATTTTTATTTAACTCTTTATCTCGAGGCAATCGTTACATACTGTTTGTTTTAATTTTCAGATGAGCGAGATGCGAGCGTCGGCAGCCAGTCGAAGCTCACGAACGCCAGCGAAGCAAGCCGAAATGCCACGAGAACTGGGAATCTGTTGTGAAAAATGCAACAATCGCCTGGTAGAGCTGAAACGGCAAGTTATGCGGCTGATCTTGCCAGAAATTCAAGGTGCTTTACAGAGCCAACGAAAGAACAAAAACACGGTGGGTTAATATGTTTGTTTGTTGAAGAAATCTAGCCTCACCAGGAGTAGAAAAACTTCAATCAACTCTTCTTTAGCGGTTATTCAATAAGACTTGGAAGAGTCTTTCATTTTCATAATATGTTTGCCGACTATATTCGGTTGTTGGTTTTTTCAATGAGGTGAGAACAACCTGGTCGAATACACTTTTTTCTTGAAGGACGCGTAATTATTTCAGTACCTTGATAATTGCAATTATCGACCTATTGGGTAAAAAATTTCAGTCGCGTTGACTATTTCGCCACAGAATGGACCCTCCCCATTCAGGAAACCCCAAATGGTTCGGAGAAGTTTACATTGCTTTGACAGAATTCATCTCTTAACCAAAAAAATTTTCTTTTCAAGTAAGACACTGGCTAAATACGTGCTTCGTAAAATCCTTTTTCATTTGTTTGTTTATTTATGCTCTTGATGGAGCCGGAGAGTACTAGAGATACTACGGCGTGACCATTTGAAATTGATATCAGCGTGGGTATAATAAAACTTACCGTAAAGTGACAGATTTTACAGTATCGATGGTTGAAAGGTGTATTGAAAATATTGTTTACTTTTACAATTTCCTGACTGACTTAAACGACGTATCTTCAACGTGAAGACTGAATTGAAAAGCTATTGAAAAGTACTGTAATTCATTTTTCTCACTTAAACTGAGGGTTTCGTCGTTTCCAACAACCCCTCATGAGGTTTTTGTCGGTGTCATTGCTCATGTGAACAATTTGGTTTATACCGCGTTTAACTTAACGAGATAGAGAAGTGAACAACCTTCGTATTAGCAGCAGGATTTGCACAGGAATCCTTGTTTTTATCGGTGCTTGTGAAGGTGGGCGGCCTTTCTTTGTAGGAAAGGTGCAGAATGGATGCAGGCCACATATGAAAAACAGGAACGTTCTTTGTCATTGTCCAATGAATTTATCCATATTGTGAATGTTGTGGTTAAACTCTGTATGGTCAGTCCTAGAATTACGAATTTACACTTGCTGAGTTTATTACCATTAAATAAACCCCTCCTCGTCTATCTCTAAAAGATCAATAACAATAAACTCTTCTTCGCGACTAACCAAATATATTCCGGGGGTTAACGACCTGACCCATTTTTGGCACAGGGACGCCGCCGAAGACGTCTGGACGAATGGCTAACTTAGGACAAAAAAAAAATTAAACACCTACGGTTTATAGGAAAATAGCTAAAATAACCTCTGTTTTGAACCTTGTCTAGGACAGCGCACGAAATGCACAATCTATAACTGGTGTTTCTTTACGAAATGAGACCTAACTTATTCCACAGTACTGAGGGCAAGTTTGCATAAAATGTTATACCCTGTCCGTTAATAGATCGGAATGGTAAAGAATTCTGACGTTAGACTCCTTTGCCTGATATGTTTTTGTGGGCTTGACGGCGCGGTGAACAACTTTCAATAACATTCCCATCATTTTGATGTTACGGACCAATAATAACGTCGGATTAATTTACTCCGTCACAATGTGTGAACCAATGAAGACAATGAAAGGATTGTGCACCGATTGTACCGCCTTTAATAACAAGTCATGCCCGCTATTCTAGACAGAGAGCTATGCTGAAAACCCGGAGTTGGAGGTACACCCTGTAATGGCCTATATGGGAAGGCTCCGCCCGAAAGGGGTAACTTCTCAGCCTTCAGGTGTATGAAAGGGTAACGTATATGAAAGGATAGGGAGATTTGTCATTTAAGCCTGTAAAATGACGTAAAAAGATTATAGAAGGATTTTGTGATTTATTCATATTTAAAAGACGGTGCATTTACAGCAGTCAAAGGGGATTCAAAGATCTAAACTAGGTACGTGAAAGGGGTACCATTTGTCAATAGAAGGTGTACGAAAGAGGTACCTTTTCTGTCCAAAATGGTATATAAAAGGGTAAGGGGGCGGACCCTGGGGCGGAGCCTCCCCGTATAAAATTTGTTGAGCACCCCTCCCCCCCCCACTGGGGGCGGCCAAGAGACCATACACTTTTCAGCAGCACCTCTAGCCCTAGTAACTAGGAAGCAGTCCCCCATCCCTCCCCTCCTGTTAATAACCAAGGATTTTTTTCAAGTTTTGAACTGTTGTAATACCAAGAGTTTTTTTAGCGACCGTTGAAAGTCAGATTAAGCCATTTATTTCAAATTCTATCTCGCTGGGATAATTCCACAAGGATGTTTAGCTCTGCATTTTTGACATATTCTTCAAACAAAAAACTCTCAAAATTTCCGTTAAAATCTGATAGCTTGATATTGATACCAATTATTTAAAATCATTACTTTCCGGTGACGAATGAAGACTAGGCATTTGTGATGGAAACAATGTTATTGATCACAGTCACTTTCCTTTATAACAGTGAAATAGTAATTTTAAGGCCAAAAAGTTACCGTTGACATTTGTCACTACTTCTAAGAAATTGGTTTTAAAAAGTTCCCTTCAAATCAAGTGGTCCGATGCTGATGATTTTGACGTTTATCAGTCAGTCCAGTCGTTTTATATCCAGTCTCAATAGTTACGTAACATACATTTTCTCAATGTTTAGAGCATTTTAGGATTTAACGTTGCGATACTTTTTGAAGATACTTACATGTATTTGTCATTCTTTTAAACTTGTTCCAACCTGGGTAGATGGTCAAGATGGTTTTGATGCTGTAATGGTCTCAGGCCCTAGGTTTGTTAAAATTTGGGCTGGTGTTCAAGGTTATTGTGACTTTTCTTTGTGAGCTGATAGTAATGCACATTTTTGGATTTCTATGAAGTTCATATTTGAAAGAAAAAAACCCCTTTAGGGAAATAGTGCTGTAATAATGTAACTTTTGAATCCGAACATGTAATTCTACAGTGTGACAACGGAAGCCGAGAATCGATCCTGATTTCTCAAACCCTGGATTTTCTCTTGAACCTCAAAAATACCGTAAAATTCCGAAAATAAGCCCCGGGGCTTATATTTTTCAAAGGACCTTTTTGAGGGGCTTATTTTTGGAGGGGCTTATCTACAGAGGGAAATTTGCGTTTCAAAATCGATTGGGCTGGCCTTATAGTTAGAAGTAACTTTACCGTTTTTGCTTTGTTTTACTTTGTATTCAAGGGAAATTTTCCAAGTATGAGCCCCCGGGGGCTTATATTTGGAGGGGCGATTTAACGGAGGGTTTTTTGCGTTACCGGTTTCGGGGACTTATATTTGGAGGGGTTTATACATGGAGGGGCTTATTTTCGGAATTTTACGGTATTCAAACTAATCCCCGAGTCAAACACTGAAAATTTTACCCTCTTTCTAAACCTGCCAATAATTTGAGCTAAACATTCTCCAGCAGGTTGAAGAATTGTGATTTCACTGTTGAAACTTCTTCATCTATACCTTCTCATGGTAACATTTTTCGTTCAGTATTTTTCAGAATGACATTTTGGATCTTTTTCGTCGAGTTTTCGTTCGAAAATTAACGAGCCGTCTCTGTCAAGCTTTTTGTGTAAAAAATGTTTACCGCTCCACATTCTCTGATTTCATGTCATTTCGAGTCAGTTTCGAGAGAATAGCTGAATTTTTATATAAGACAAAAGTGTGTTTATTCTTTGAGCAGACAACACTAAGTTAACTTCGCAATAAAGCTTTTTTGTCTAAGATATTTGCTTCGTGCTGTGTTGTATCAACACCTTAGCAATATACAGTCAGTGGCTTTTGTAGTCCACTATACTATGGGTTAAAAATGGCGGTTGCATTTCGGGTGCCATTATTGACAACTAGACATTAGCTAACCAACATTCGTTTTCATACACAAAGATTCCGCCTGGGAAAATAAAGTGATTTAAAACAAAAGATTCGTCGTCAATTTTTATACGTCGGCTCCATCGGAAGTCTTGAGTAATTTTTTATTGTATGCATGACAAAAAATCTTGACTGGTCGCTGAGAGTTTTTTCAACGAGGAAACATCGTCCTTCAATTTTCGAAGTTTTGGCAATTCATTTTGAAATACAGTTTTTATCTTTCATAGACAGAAAGCGATGGTTTAACTGTGAAACTCTATCATTCAATTTTGCTTTTTCAGCAGCTGAAAACAGCTGATATGTACGCGCTCGCCGCCTAAAGTACTGAGCAATTAAAAACTGAGTCGTACAATTTTTAAAGTTTGTAATGGTTTCATTATCTGCCAAAGCTATTTACAATATTCATATCCAGATTACAGAAAATGTTTGTTTAACAGATATTGAACAGACAACCATCTTAAAAAGACAATTTGAATGAATGGCAAGTGGAAATATCAGTCTCTCGATATAGTTTACACGTTTCTTTAGCTCTGTTAAGTGCGTGTAGTTCGTCAAGCATACGATATTGTGCAAAGTCTATAAATAGGACATAGTTACTGAAATGTACACTTAAATAGAACCTGGAACACTCAGTTAAGGTCTTTTTTCCCGCATAAATAACAGCAAAATATTGTTCTTTCGTTTTCTTAAAAACATTAAAAACAGGAAATAATTGCTGGAAATTACGGGGTAAAACAATTTGCGACTATTATTTTCAGAGCTTAGCGCCTAAAGAAAGTGATATCTTATTACTTCGATTGAGGAAAATTTCAAAGCGCGTTCCTTCGAGGTTCCGGTCCAGCCTTTAATTTTCATTAGAGTCTGTCAAAGTTCTTTAAACAAAATACATAGCGACGACATTTCATTTACACTGCGTATTGCTTTGTAAAGAGTTCATTTCAGTTCAAAGCAACCGAATATGGAAACAAGCCTTGGTTTGACTTCCATCAAAGCGCACGTGCTTCTCCTTTTATTCCCGAAGATAATTCATCCATTGATTTCCTTTTTGCTATTTAGAAAAGATGAATAGATGCTTAGATAGCTAATGAAATCCATATGCAATTTTCAGCCTAGTTTCTTTTTGTGTGCTCCTTGTTTAAGCTTTTTTTTACATAGCAAGTAATTGAACAATATGTGGGTCCTTTCTTTCTTATTTTCCAGCGTTTTGAAAGAAACCAATTTCATCGTCCTATGTGTGTCGCTAATGGACTTGCACTTAATTGTTTCTTCCACCCATTTTACTGGGTGATAATTATCTAATAAAATTTCGAGGCTTTGTTCAGATCTGAATACTCGGATTTGCAGAACATTACCCTTGATTTTTAACCAGCTTTGCAAACTTTTATTGAAAGGTAAAAGCTTTAAACAAAAGGACTGTCTTATTTATATATAAATTAACTTTAAAAAGGTTGTAGTGATTATCTCACACGAAGATCACCGAATTTCTTTTCATGTTATTATCCGGGTGTTATCACTTTGAACAAAACATTAACCAGAAGGCGGGTCTTTCCCCTTTGAACACCTTAAAATATTCTTTGTTCTGCATAATAACTATTGGATTCACTTAAAATATTTTCTTTTAAAGTTGTAAACATTGCGCTAAAATTACTAACGTTCACCGCAGAGTGTGTTTTAAAAAGGCACTTGGCACGAGCCGGCCTATGACACGTGCTATTCGCGCGCGCAAATTGCTTCAATGTTATTGGTGAACAGGCGAGGACAATACGAATTGGATTATCATTAAGAGAAATCGTTAGCGTTATAAGAAAAATCGCGCTAGTCTACCCACTGTTCTACTCTGCGCGAAGGACGAAGCAGTGGCACGATCGACATGTCGTTAAATCGCGGATCCTCGCGAAGAAGTCATAGCTTGGAAAACTGGCGAGATTTTGGTGGCAGTTTGCCGTTATTTGATCAAAATAACTGGCGGCAACGCGGGCTGTACGAAGATTTATCTAACGCCACTAAGTGTGGGATATCGCAGGTTGGTTTAGTTCTCTTAACTGTACGCTCATTGAGCAATGTTCAAATGACATCCATTTCCACTAGTTCGTATTTGCATGCATTGAAACGCTGAAAATTCTTACCTATGCTGATCAATTATTGTTAAGCTTGAACTCAGCAAAAAAGAATAGGAAGGCTATAAAATGCGACAACTTTAAATTTAAGAGATATGGCTAATAACTGAATATCATTACGCCCGGTGAATTACATAAAACTGACTTTGCCTGCACTTAGTGTACAAAACCATTGTACTCAAACTTAAATCAAATTAGCACCCTTAGCCTTCAATTTATTGCCCTTTAAACACTGGTTCGAATGGCTTCAACTGTCAAAGCACATGTCTTAGAATGATAGATGATGTGGTGTTAAGGATTTATATATATATACAAAAAAAAAAAATTCAGTGGAGTACTGTAAATTCTGGTTTTTCTAGGTCTGGAAGGGGAATTCATAGTGGCAAATGAACAAAATCAATGATTGTCTTTTAGCTTCGCTTAAATAGGAGCCAGCGAGAGTCTATAAAATACATCAATAGGTGATATCCATTTTACTTAGTCTATAGTTGAAACTTTCAAGGAAGTATACTTCAAATACATTAAGCAAGTAGTTCATTTTTTCGGTTTCCTTAGTAAAAATGTACATATTAATCAAGTTTTCGCGCGCAGTTTTCTTCGACTACTATGTTTGTCTTTACAGAAGGAACTTCCCAGAAAAATCAATTGCATTTTCGTTCTCGATTTTATTTCGTTTGTTTTCTTGTCTGCTTCTCTGTGCTCAAATACAAGGGAAAATGGAGAGCTAACTCGTTGCGTGAGAAAACAGAATTACATATTCAGCTCACTTAACGTTGTTTCGGAACTTCGCAGTCGTTATTTACAATGTAGACATGTTCGGAGCATGCAAACGCAGTAGGACATTACTTATATCAAAAGTTATGACTTCCTTTTTGGCGACAATTTCGGCGTCGACCTTGCCCAAAATTAAGGCACAAAAGACAACTGAAACGAGTTTTTGGCAGATCATTTCTTGAGAAAACAGGTTTATTTTTGCTGACTTAAGCGTCTTCTAAGCAAATGTTTAGGCTTTCTAACGCAGGTTAAAATGCGTAGTGCTTTATAGTTATTGTACATCGCCACATGTATAGATCGGTCTCGATATATTATCATATTTTAGACAAAAACGGCGTTGCTGGATATCGGCGCCGTATTGTCGGCCCGGTCAAGATAATAACCCATATCTGAATGGAAAAGTGCATGTTGGGCATATTTCAGGTTCTTTGTGAACGCTAACCATCTCATCATGTTTGTGTTGTAGCTAGACAATGCAGGCGTCACAAGTCTTCGGCTATAGTTACCCATAAAGACCTCCTATAGTTAAAGATTAAGTGTTTTGATAATACAGTCATTCGTCCCAGATACAGGGTTTTCCTGAGTCACAGTAAAACCTAATTTGCGGTTTCTTTGTATGAAGATTTGAGGCTTTCCGGAGTAATTTTTCCAGAGTTATGGTTGAAGTGAGTTTGATCAGCAGAAACATTTTTCTTGCAATATTATCTAGCGTTTGGTGAAGACAGGTGCATAAAATCAAAAACTGACCAGAGTTATTCGAAATCACTGACATTCTCGTAGAGAAATGATTGTTCTATGGAAAATGGAACAGAACGCAATATCGTGATCGGTCGAACCGCAAAAACTGACATTTTGACCTCCTTTTTATCGTTTTTTAACAGGTGTGGTTTACTAAAGCGCCGCTTCTTCGTTCCGTTGCTTACATCCGAAGTTGTAAACACACAATATGTTAATAAAACAGATAACTACAACTTATTCCATGTGATCGAAAAGAACTTTCATTGTTTATCTTGGTTTAGAGACAGCCTAAGTCAATACGTAACTTATTTCACGGTGACAAAGGTACACACCTATCTCGTTGATATAACTCACTTTATTATTCAATAAATTCAATCACTTAATAGCTTTTTATTCCATCAGACTAATTGCTGTTAATTAGAAATCATCCCTGACGTTTTTCATTTTCCTGTTCTTTGTGTTTCTCCCTAAACCTTCTGTTGTTTCGCATGACATTTCAATTTTAGTCTCGACACGCTAAACATCCCTACAACTATGCAAAATAATACTAGAAGATTGCCTTTTTGGCGAGAAACAAATTAGGGCAAAATCCTCTAGCCCTTTCCGTTCTTCAGAAAAGTTCATTGAAAACCTAGGGAGAAAAAAGCTAGAGTTATTCCTAGGTGTCTTAAAACTCAAAAATAACTCCTTCGCTCGAAGTCCGAGCTACCCATAGTGAAAAATTATATTTAGCTGCCATCCTTTAGAGTTTGCGGTGTGGAAGAAATCTTATAAAGCGTGACCATTCGATTGAAGTATCTTTTAAAGCAACACTTTCGTGTGGTTGTTTCTATTATTTTCGAATTGTACAAAAATACAATGTAGGCCCTTTTTCTATCATGTTCTCGTTTTTATTCCTCTAACAAGAGTCCATAACTCTGCTTATTTAATGTATTCTCTTCAAGTACTTTGTCCCAAGAGGAACGTATTTCTGTTTCTAATTTGCTTTGGCTCTAGAATCTCACTGACCTTACTTATGAACGCAGTTTGCATTAATTAAGTAGGTAATCGATCTTACAAATGGTGGGCGTATGAAGCAGTCAGCACGCCACGTGTTTAAAGTACTGTTATCAGTTATTATGTCGGTTAATCCCTCGAAGGTTTAGATAATCATCTATATTTACGTTCGTATTATTCATTTTGAAAAATAAACAAAATTTAACGCTGGGTAAACTTCATTTATTCCTTTAAAAATCATGTTGTGTCTGACTTCGAAACCTTGGTTGAAACTGAAACATTTTCACGCGATTCACAAGGCCGTAATATTAATTTTGCTGCTTATCTAGGCTTTCAAAGTGACAAGTCTATTTAAATTAGGCGAACAGCAAGCAATTTAAGAGATGTGGAATGCAACTCTTTAAGTTATTATTTATTTATGCTGTCGTTAAAAGCAAATTTTTTAGGCAAACAACAAGATCCACCAAAAAAAACTCAATTTCAGAATTTTCTTCATTTCGGAATAGAGTTATTTTCTGCAAAATTCATCGCCAAAAAGATATTCTACAGTTGTTGCCATAACTTGTTTTCACAACTGCTACTTTCAACTTAATTTCGTTTGGTAGTTAATAATACTGAAACCGTTGCTATTCTTGGCTATTCCTATAGTTGCAAAACCAAATTTTGGATTTTTTTTTCCGTGTCTTTCAAGACATTAAAATGTACACGTTAATTGAATGCCCGAAGTGATAAAAGGTGCCGACTTTTACGGTAGATTGGCAGGTATTTGTTAGTTGAAATTCTTGTTCAATTTTATAAAAATTTGTCCTTTGTTTAATCTGAATAGTTCACTTTACATGACAAAGAAGAACTATTCATTTTAAACTCTCTCAGATCTGTTAATTATAGATTCTCGTAAATGATATGCTGTGAACGCGAGTTTCCTTTGTACTAGAGATACGTGATTTGGAAGAAGCGTGTAATAGGTTGCTAATCCTTCTCGATCAGACACTCAGATTATGAGTATAAGATTTACAGACAAAATATCCTCGTACAAGACCTCGACAAAGACTGTGGTAATTGGTGATGGAAGGCCATCATTTGTGCACCATTCCAGAGATGTTGGTCGATTCAGTCGACGCAAAGGTAAATGAGCAGTTGAATGAGATTCTTAGATATGATTCGATCTAAAATTTGAGCGACGTCCCCTCTTTTTTGCTTTTCCGGGTCTGCGTTGCGTTGAGAGACTGATAGTCATCTTTTGGCCAGAGAGCTAAAGCATTGTCGATGTTTTGTCTCGTCAGCAAATTAAACTCGCCCTGTCTTTGTCTGATACAATAACGAAATCTGAAAGACTCGGGGACGCGTAAGGAGAACGTTAACAAGTCCCGAGGGGGTATTCCCGGGAATATTTGGTGGGGGTGTGCCTCCCGGTTCTCTAAATCCTTACCCCATTTCACACCTAAAAATGTAAATTTCCACACTCGTTTTCAGACCCAGCCTCTTAACTCTAAGCCCGTTTTCAATCCTTGTATAGGTAGAAATTAAGTCATCATCTTTAGACGAACTCAAACAAAAGAATTCCCATATTACTCTTTCTTTCTGATTCATTTGGAATTGAAACGACAAATACGTTCATACACGCCCGTAGTTCCCTCGAAAAGCAGACCCGATTCCAGATCAAAATGGTCAAAATCTGTACCCGTTTTCAGACCAAAACGGCGCAAAAACCATACCCTTTGGGGCTGCATGTACTTATATGGCTAATATAAGGGAGTACCCCACGGTACCAGCGCCGTAGCTAGTATGAGGCCAACCGAGGCACTCGCCTCGGTAAAATTTTGACGAATTTCGCCGATCATTTTTATTTTACGTAAGCGATCATCGGATATTTTTAACGCATCATGATATTACAAAGAATTCAGCAATTCAGTCAATATACTATGAAAAAATTACCATATCATCGATCTCAAGGGGCTACGTACGTTAACTCAAATTTTTTTTGAACAAATACTGATCAAAACCATTGGCGAGGTTAACGGTCACCCAGATTATGTAGCTTGTTTCTGATTATTGCTTTTTAAATTCCACTTAAATTAACTCGAAAAAAAGTTACCGAAAGGCCCAGAAAACGCTGCAAATCGCATTTCCGAGAGAGTAAAGTTCAAAATTTCTCGGGGGGGGGGGGGCATGCCTCCGAACCCCCCTAGCAACTCCAGCCTGCCTCGGTTGGCCGTTTGGTCTGGCTACGGCACTGGGTGCAAGTCACTGATGTTTCCAACCACAACTTCTGTTTGATTAAGAAAAAAAGGCGCGAGATTTTTAGCCAGTCACCATGATAAGTAACGCAACACTAATTTCTCAGTTTCAGCTCTCAATCTTTTAATTAATAACCGCTTTCAGCTGCGCTTTAACCTATTCGCCGCCTGGGAATTTTGCTGAAAAACGCGTTTTAAAGCTAGTCGAATCGTTTTCTGGTCATTGTCTTACTATAAGGAGATAGAACTTACCAAAAAGCCGTTTACAGGTCGTGCGCTTCGCAGCCTTCCATTCCAGATGCAAAATACTATCGGCTTCCGAAGTTCGCGCGTGGGTTTTAAAGTGACACAACTGATGTTGATTTTTACTTTTCGTATTTCTTCCTTCCTTCTTCGTTGGCTTTTCTCCCCCACTTTTTTTTCATTTGCTGGACATTTACTAGCCCTCGATCATTTTGGTGAAAAAAGTCTTCTGAAGAGATGTCAGGATCGTAGGGTTAGATGGAAGTGCAGGCGGGTAGTGGAAAAAGATTTTCATCGGAATTCTCGGTTCAATTTTATATGTTTTTCGCCCTTTTCTCCGGCTTCCTTGCCGGCATCGTGCTCATTCTGACATGATTTTGAAGATCTCTTCTTCCAGCACAAGTTAGATGATAAAGTTGTCCTTGACCGTTAAAACTGATGACGTGATCAGTGCTACAAGGGACGTGGATCTGCATGGGCGGTTACGGGTGGTTCAGGGGTGGACAATAATTGATACAATCATAGTTATTAGAGGAGACTGGTTATGAAAAGCGGCAAACATCAATGATAAAAACAACTGTGCTGCAGTTTATGTTGGAAGTACCGTGAAAGTGCACAATCCTTTGTTTTCTGTTGGCAAATTGTTACGGAATAAATTAATGCAACGTTTTTATTGGTCAATACAATCAAAATGATAGGAATTCTTTTGAACGTTGTGCACTTTCAGGTCCACAAAAACATATAACAAAGGAGTCTGACGGGTTTCATAACCATTCCACTCAATTAACTATGATACAATGGACTACTGGTGCTGTACAGTGAGCCATTCGCCGTCGCTGATTCATTGTAGCTAACCTTTGGTTTTGCTTTTAAAAGCAGTAGTTTTTCACTGTCTTAAGAGGTTAATCGCGGTAAGCAGTAGTTGTGTTCCAGGAATCCCGAGTTAAAATTAGTGTTTAAAACATTACAGTGAGATAAAGTGACTGCATTTGACCCACGGCCAAGATTTTTGAAGCAGCACTTTAAAAGTTCACTTAGATTATTGGACTGTTGGTAAGTATCTTAGAAACAAGTGGTTGCCCCCTCGAAAGAGGAAGATAGAAGGCATTAGATACTTAACTAGGATTTAGTCAAAGTTTGTAGAATGTCAGGGAATCTCACCATCAAGTTTCCTTGTGAAGACTTTCTAATTGTCTCTAATGAATTCTCAGGGACGAGTTCGGCTTGTGCAAATATATTAACTACCTAAAGGCAGAGTTAAAACGCGTGTTATTTCCAAATACGCAGTTTAACAGAATTGCCTGAGGTCTGTTTGGAGAGCTTACGAAGAGAGGCATTAATTGTGTGTAATCACGTTGTACGTTTTATCCCCTGTTCTAAACCACTTACCTCCCTGAAGTCTGGGGTCTTAACCCTTTCACGCTTGAATTAGGAAAAAAAAAATGCTGGAGAGGTTTCATTTGAAAAGTCACTCCATAAGATTTCATTCACAGACTCACAAATTAGAACTACCTAGTGCAGTATGATAAACAGTGCCACAAGGAAGTACCACGTAGTAGCTTTTATTTGAGTGATCACCGTCGTCCACGAACTCAAAAGTAAGAATTGCGTGTGTGTCCATAATTTGGAGACTTTTGAAGTGAAAGCTTTCTGGAAATTACTTAAGCATTAGCATCTAATGATGAATTACTAAATTGGAAATGGTTTTAATTCATTGCTGTCTCATCCTGAAGCATGCTTAAACGTCGCGTTAATTACCACGAGCTATTTACAAAAGAGCGAACTCATTTTAACGCTCAAGACCGTTTTCGAAATTCACGTGATTGGTCGCGACAAATGAACTTTTTTTAATTGCTCCCCTAGGCTATAAACGTTGTTTTCTCGTTGTTTCTTGACAACACAACAGTGTTTGATTGCTTTATTCTTTCGTGTGCGTTATTAATACTACCGTAAGTAGGTCGTGAAAGGTTTTTGTGTTCATCAAGTGTTTTCGTATCGATGCCCCTCCCTTGATTAAATTAAAATAATGACGAGACCAAGCGTTTAATTCGTTTTTGGCATAAATAGCGGTTAAACGTGCTTATGTTACAAGGACACTTCAGTTGTTGTTTTTACATACACTTGGTGCTTAGCTGCCTTTTTCGTGTGCACGAGTTTATGCCAAGTAAGAAAGGAACACGATTGCGCTCTTTTCACAAGATAGGTCTTTGGTCGTACTGCGGACTAATCAAATAACAGTCACCGAAACTACATCCAGGTTTGCCTCAAGCCAAGGTAATACTCGACAGTTCCATCCCTATCCAGGGTTCGTGACTTTAACTTTTTGGCTTTGAGTGCCTCGGTACCACTCATGTTCAGTTTCCGGGATTCTTTTATTTTCTCTGTACAAGATAGCTTTGTCGTCAAACACAGTCTTTGTAGGAGATTGTAAGGTTTGACTCAGACTACAGAACCAACAGCACTCGCTATAGCCATATCATCAACATGCATTTTCTCTACACCGTTATCAACATGTTTCTCACTATAATGACTATGAGAATATCTTATGTGAAGGTCTAGAACTTACATTACCTTTGTGGTGATCGTAGTTTTGTAATAGTCTCATAACCCTGTAAAAAAAGATAAAATAAAAGAAAAAGGGTTTTTTTTAGCTTAATTTAATACCTAGTTTATAGGTGAAATAGGAAGCAGATTTTCACTACCGTAGAAATTGACATTGGCCTCCTGTCTTTGTTTCTCTTGAATTTTGGGCCAATTAAAATGGAAAGGTTATAGTTGGTTCCACGCGAGTTCGTTAAACTCGTAAACGTACCAGGACCAAAATGTTTACAGCGATCCGGGCAATAATAATGTTTACTGGAGATCCGTCAACGTTAAGTTATCCAATCTGTATACTGATCATACGATGATAGTTCATCCCGTTCACATGTGGACCGAAACCTTAAGCACTTAAGCTCGCTTACAAACTCAAACAACTTGGTGTAAACACGGCGTAAGAGGTCGATGATTAATTTGCCGTAAGTCGGTTATTCATGAGATTATATATTGCCTGTAATCCAGTTACCACAGTGGATTGTACTGGGAGAGTTATTATTTTGTAAATAGGAACGGAAATACTGCTATAGAATCTTAAAATTAGCTTTGACGGCGGTTTCCCAACGTGAAATCTTGTAAGTATAGTTCATTGTTTTCAAACAATAGGATAGGTTGTTGATTTGAATAGAAAACACACTCGCTCTGTTTTTTTAGTTAAAGAAGACGAAGAAAAATAATTATCATTGGCGATGGGGGGAGCACGCAGTCAGCTAAACATTATTACGTAAAACGGTAAATAGAATATATAAATAAGTAGTTACTAAGTTTAAAAAAGTTGTGTAAGACTAAAGTTGTGCTAAAGTTGTGTGAAACTGCTAGTGGCTGAGAAGAAAACTAAACCTGGAAATTATTTTTAGACGGAAGAAGGTTGAAAAAAAGTCGTGAATTCTTCAGCAGATACAGTTGGTTTCTATTCAAACATATCATTTGCACGAACGAATTTGCTATAAACATCCTTCAGGGGAATTGTTTCCATTCTTAAACATAAAGGGAAATTTTAGTATGTACGTCACATGTAGATGTCTCGATAACTATACAATTATACGGGGTGGAGTTGAAACCTCCCACAATATCGTAGATCCTATACATAGAAACCCAGACTATTTAAAAACATATACCTGACTAAAAGGCATCTTGGGGAAACTTAGCGGGTGTTAAATTAAACAATTTTTGAACCTTTTCTGCTCGGTTTGCCGTTAATTGAGCGAAGCAATTCCTGACAACTTGTCACTGGGTTTAAAAATGACATGATTAATTTTAGTGACATCAATACTCAAATAAAGTGAGTCAGGCTTTTGATGGTTAATGGGGCATGCAAACGTTGCGTGTTTAAACTTTTCGTGCGTGTCAAAAGGGGTGCTAGGTCAAAAAAATATAAACAAAATACACAGCATTTTTGTCAACATTAGTCATGACTGTGAATCAAGAGGCGCAGGATGAGGGAGCATCTTCTCTTGCAAGTTCAAGACACAGTAGGCGACTTAAAAAAGAGGTAAAATTGTAGAAAAAAAATCTCATGTTTTATACCTCTTTACGAAATCTTCTTGCATTCCAGATTGTAGCTAGTCAGTTTTTAAGTAAGTTCGAGCTAAATTTTCATTTAATTTGTTTTTTAGGGAAAGTAGCTGGTTTTTGCATACTAAGAATTGTTAAAAATTATTCATTTTAATATATTTGTTGAAGAAGAAGGGTACCACATTTCGTTATCTTTTGATGGTCCCGGCTTCACGTCGCTCTAGAAATTAAAATTGTCAACTTCAAATTTTGTTTTTAATTTCAAATGAATATAACGTTTTGGCATTTCTCTCATTTGTACTCCTTGACAAGCATTGACTGGTTCTTTATTGCGCAAACATTCCAACCTTGTTCTGCCATGTTGCACCCTCACCCACTATTTCCAACTGTTAACTTAGCCCAAAAAACAACGAGTATCAATCTAATTGTCTAAACCTGTGCGTATTAAGTCTCATCTTCTGAGAAAGTTAGGTTTTAAAAAAGTCACACCTTATTTTAAGGCTACATGACATTGTACGAGGAAAGTGTGGGAGGTCTTTTTCGTGAGAACTCACAATCTTATCATCTCCTTGAATTGTTTTAACAGGGGATTGCAGACGAGCTTAAGAATTAAGCTCAATTTTCTTCTCTAGGAATGTACAAGTGCTTAACAAAGGAACCGTATTTTCCCTCGCGTGCTGTATCACTTATTTCCGGCTATTAGTAATGCTTGCTTGAGGCTTACTATCGACATCGTTCAGTTTAAGCCAACTTATTTTAATTTGTCACGCGATGTTTTAGGCGAAAATAAACGAGGACAGCTTGAATTACTCACGTACAAGGTACTCGATATTGTTTTTGCAAAGGCGAACGTGGATTCCATGGTTCGTTAGTAATTGCACCTACTTTTAAGTCCATATTATCGTCTAAAATAAAGGAGGACAGCTTACAGTACATAAACAAGCTTCACATTGGCGTTAATAACGTAAACTTGCTTGTTACTAAGTTTGCAAGTATGCCAACTTTTCACCGAAATATGACATGAGAAATTGCAAGGGCTAGCATGCAGGAAAATAAAGTCAATAAGTAATGATATGAACAGAGCTTTAAATACGCAAATATACTCGATTTGCATTGGTACGTACTTGGATTTAATGCTATGGTAGTTGGTGATAGATTACACGAGAACGCATTTCATTGATTTTTTTTTTTTTTCGCAAAGTCACATTTTGTTCATGTCAGTAACATTGATTCTGATGCGCAAACTTGTGTTTCTGTAGAGGTCCTCTTCCGTCGCAATTAAATTGCTCGCTAGGATAGTGAGGCTTTTAGGTTTGCATTTAAATGAAAGGAATTTTACGCAAACATAGCACCCCTGTTGTGATAGTTCGATTCCGCTTCAGAAATAGACGATGAGTCATCTCTTTTATTCTGCTCACCTGAGCAGTTCGCGGTGTCATTTTCAAATCACGTAGAATGTTACTGTCACATATTTTTGCGTTATGTTTTCCGGTATCCAGGCTCGCTGTTACAGTAATGTTCATAGGGGGCAAGTGATACGTAAAGGCTGCTGGAACGGGTGCTTCAAGCATTAGATTTCCTACGTTTCCCCAACCCTTCCCCCCTTATCCCTTCTCTCGTATTAATTTACACAATTTTGATCAAGTATGTTGGCCACTGACTGCATTGTGTCTTAACTCTGTAAAGTTTATTTGAAGCTTTTGTTTGTTTAACATTTTTCAGTCCACTAGCTTTGTGCCATTAATACTTTTAAGGGTCAATAGATTATTATTATTATAATTATTATCGTTGTCGTTGTTGTTGTTGAAATCTTTGTTATTACAAGTATTATCTTCAAGTGGGAACGTCTTATTTCGTCATATTGCTCTTTGCCAAAGTAACGTTCTTGTCCTAACATTTGTGGCCGTTTTTCCTTCAGGGATCCCTCGCGGCAAGGATCTTCGATCAAATTCGCATTCCAGAAACTCAGATGAAGTCATGGAAAAACGATCAGTGTGAAGTCTGCTGCACCGATCTAACCCAGCTCAAAAGAGAAGCTGTTGCCATGGTGAATACTCTGGAAGAATCCCAATTCCTCGCTTACTATAATATTCCCGGATATGTGGTGGGGCCAAACGCTGACCAGTTAAGTCGACGGGCGGACAAACAGCGCTTGCAAATGGGCGTTACTATGGATACTAGTGACCGAAGTGGGATAGTTTATGTGAAGCCAGATGAAACAGCGATTGGTTCATCATTTTTGTCAAGGTAAGAATAAAGCTATTGAATTCAGAAAACTGTCTTGAACTGGCTTCGTGTTGCTATGCCACGAAAAAGCACTAAAATCATCGCTGAATATGTCGATAAATCAGTGGATGTTTTCTTTGAATAAAGGTCAATCACTGTCGGAAAGCTAAGACATAGAGGGAAAAATACAAAAAATAGTCCGAATTTTTCCAAGTTACGATTAATACTTACCATAGCACGGTTCCTCGGGATAAATCTTACTCCAAAATAAGCAACATAGCTTAACAGTTGGAGTATTTAAGATACCTTTCTTACCTTAGAAATTAATTAGGTGGAACTGATTACTCGTACCCTATACTGTCGTTCACAATTAAATAACTGTCGGCCATGAACTTTAAAAAAAAGTCTTTTTCTATGACCCTTATTGTGACAGATGAAAGGTTATGACAAGAATCATTATATCGTATGTAAAAGAGAATAAACAGCATTTCGAGAATTATATGGCTTTATTATCCAAGTTCTTCCCCCTTGTCTTTAGAAAAAGGAAGAATTTAATGAGGGGTCTTTAATTATCATAATGATGAAAAGATGTAGATTTGATAACAGAGGAACATGTTTTTTCGTGAAAGTAAACATTTAACACGCCTTAAGTCGGCGAAAAACAAAAGAAAACAAATAAAGTTGAATTCTTAGCAAATGTTTTTAGCTGTAGTGCATAGCTTGAGCCTGTGAAATTTCTATCTTGAGTGAAATGACACCCTGCCTCAATAATCGAAACAATGAAAGGGTTAATTTTGAATATCTTTCTCGGTAATTGAGATAAAACGCCCGTTGTCTAGACTCTGGGCATTTCCTAAGTTTGAAGTAAACGTTTTCCATTTCCTGGAAGTTTGAAAATTGTCTGTTTTTAAAATATTATACAGTGAAATCCCGTTAATACCGTCACCAATGGGCCAAAAAAATTGGCCGTATTAACGTGGGCTTTTTTACAAGAAATTGTATGTGTATGTCGGTTTTTACCAAGCGGCCAAAAAAAGTGGCCGTAAGGTGGGGTTTCACTGAAACTAGAATCCGGGACACAAACTACAGACACGCTCTGTCTAATAAGTCAACACTGTCAGTCAAGCATTTTAAACAATTCAAAATTTAAATCTTGAATGGTGTTGTTGTTTCCCTATTTTGAGATTTGACCTGTTCACACCATATTTCTTTGATATAATCCAAAATGAGCTATTAAGAAAACTGTACTTGAGGAACTATAAGAATGCTCTTAAATGAATTCTCCTTTAAACCAATAAAACCTGCCCCTTTCAAGAGAGTCTTTAACAAAGTCAACGAAACAGACATGGCGCCGCCTACAAAACCCGCCTGCATTGTTAGTTAGTTAGTTTCTCTTTTTATTTATTGGCAAACAAAACGTCATTTAGTGTTATTGCTTTCCGCTTTCATTATGAGACACTTCGAGTTGTGCTAAAGAGGAAAATTCACTGTCACTTCGGGTGAATTTAAGCGTAGCGAATTCAATGGCCGGACAATCCGAACAGAGCGCTGAGCCGCAGATCGTATCTGACTCTCAGTACTTAACACCATGGCAAGCGTTAACATGGAAACAAGAATTGGTAAAAGCAACTTCCAGGTATATAACTCTCCGTATTGCATGTCATATCAGTTCCTTATACGTGCTCGCTTTAATTTGCATTCAGTCGCTTGTGAATATCAAACGTTCGGCTCTCATAAAGGCTAGTTTTTTCATCCTTTAACAAATTTTGTCTGTTACAATCTGAGAGCTGTTGGATGTCGAAGAAATTAACATTAGATATCACAAGGTTTTATTCGACGAAAAGTCACGTCAACTTCCCTCTTTAACACATGAAACACGAGTTACATATCGTGAAATATTTGCCTTTCTATCTATAAAAAACCCGACTACCATGCCTAATTTTTAATCTGTTTCCCAAAGATTATATTCAAGAAACTAACTAACCGCTAATCAAGTTTTTTTATTAGCTAAGTCGAAGCTGAATGAACACATGTCCACAGGGAAGGTTTCTTTTTCTTTGAAAGTCAATATTTGCATTCTTCCTTCTTCTTCCTGAACTTTTCTTTTCTTCTACCGTCAAAACAAATCTTAACCGTAATCCCTTGTATTTTTTACCTTTGACGTCAAAGTACATCTGTTTTAAAATTATGCGGAAAAAAGGCGAGGTAAAAAAATTCTGCCACAAATATTTCTAACAATATCTTTTATAATTTTCCTGCTCTGCGTGCGGTCAGAAAAGAATGTTTTACCGTGCAATACGATTGGATCCCTGAGCTCATGTCCGCTCTGCTTAACCACAACATTTACGCGCCAAAACCTTTTCAAATCATGTGTTCACCTTATTAAAATAATATATAGATCTATTAGGCAGGGCTAAACGCGAACCTCCCGTTAATACGTTGCCACGGTAATTACATGGACTCGTCTCTCCTAAAAAAAAAAAAAGAATTGAACTTGAACCCGCAATTAATTTACAGCTAATAACTGGTCAGCGGAAAACTTCAAAAAAACACGTGAACTAGATAAGTTGACATCTGTCATGTGATACTTGTCAGCGGATACTCTGTTTGGAAAACTGTCGATTAAGCTTAACATGAAAGTCTAAAATCAAAATAGAATTAAATTCAAAATGACTACTGCAAAGACTGATCAAACAATCTGAAAAAAACTGGCCAATACTAATCTTCATCACGTTTATTAGGAAAAACCACGAATATTCAGAATATATACCACTGTATTATAATAAACGGAAGTTACATGGTATGACGTGGTAAGGTGTGGCTGTTAAGAAAAATAAATCGAAAAAAAGATAAATATTACACAATGATTATTGTTCTAACATCAAGCTAACGCAGGTTGCAGGCTGCCACACTTCTTAGAAAATGACATTTCACATTGGTTGCCCTGTGGTGCGGAGGGACGGACGGTTGGACGGGCGTACGGTCACGTGATTACCAAATTTTCTCGGATGCATAAATAACCAAATTTTATTACCCATGGTGCTTCGCGCGCCGAAGAGCTCTGCTGCAAATAAAATTAAGGACAAATGTGTTCTGCCACATTGACCTCTGAGTCTTTATCGATAATAACCATGAGTTTTCTTTCAGAGCTGCCCAAAAATTGATGTCTTCTAAGAAGAAACACAAAAAAGGACACACGCAAAAGCAAGAGGCCTCCCCACACTACCCCTCACCGTCTGTCGAGTTGATACCATCGCGACATGGACAAAAGGAAGTCCAGCCCTACCCCTTCCCTACTAAGTTCAAGGAAGTACTCCGGGTGTCAAGCCCAGCTGTGCCTCCAGGTCTGCTTAAACTGCACACCAAGAGGACGGATGGGAAGGTAGGATTCACGAGCGTTAACGTTTTAACTCCCAAGAAAGCTTAAAGTCAAATTTTAGCTAAAATCCCCAATTTCCAAACCAGGTTGTACATCATAATAAACAGTACCACGGGAAAGGACAGTTCAGTAGCTCTCATTTGAATGGTCACACCATAGGATTTCATTCACAGACTCAAAGGTTAGAACCACCTTGTACAGCATAATAAACAGTACCACAGGAAAGTACTGCTCAGTAGCTTTCATTTGAATGGTCACATCATAGGATTTCATCCACAGACTCAAAAGTCATAACCACATTGTACAACATAATAAACAGTACCACAGGAAAGTATTGCTCAGTAGCTTTCATTTGAATATTTACACCGGCCATAAAATTTCATTCACGGACTTCAAAGTTCGCCATGGTTCGCATTTACGTGGTCGTACAGTAGGATTTTGTTTTAAGATATATTTTTAAATAATAGCGCCTTTATATTTGTCTCCGTTATGCTGATTCTGTTACTAAAAGATTCACACAGATCCCTCTAACAGTATCTTATTTATAATAAAGCTTTGATGTCAGTTTCCCCGCGTTTTTTAGATATGATCCTTGAATGGGCCATTTCCTAGTTGCCTCAAGCCTCTGTTTCAAAGCGAGGCTAATTGCGAAGCCATTGATATGAAAACGGTTTTTTATTCTGATACCAGGAAAACTCATTGTCACAAGAAAGGTACCTTTTACACTTAGCCTCGTTTAGAAATCAGAGTTTTTGGAGCTCGGAAATGGCATATCGTGAATATAAAGTAAAATAGAGGGCGCTTACGTTGAACGTCGGCGGTTTTAATCGTAGGTTAAAGTCATGCTTCGAATCGGTCCCTCATTTCCTGGAGAGACCGGCTCCTTTATGAAAGTCGACCAGAAAAGAAGACAGGTTACGCTATACGATCCTAGCACTGTAGGTCACGTGTCACAGACGCACAGAAAAATGGGTGTGGCAGCCCCCAAGATGTTCGCGTTTGACTCAATTTTCGAGTCGGACTCCACTCAGGTAAGTGAGAAAAAATTGCATTGTTTTGTTTTTGGAGTACCTGTTTGACTGAACTTTTGCCCGTTCACAGTTACAGAGAACTCCAGCACTTGAATTTCTTATTCGGTTTAAAGAGGCTTTATTACGGTTTCTCTTAAGTCAAAGAAACTTTGTATGGCACACAAAACAGTACCTTTGTCTCCAATGGTAGAACGACCTTGAACAGCGTAAAAACAAGCACAAAATTATTGCTCAATTGCTCTCATTTAGATTGACAAACCTTAGGATTTCATTCGGCAAAGACTCAAAACTTAGAATCACCTTGTAAAGCATAATAATCAGCACTCAGTAGCTTAGTTTGAATTATCCCACTTAAGAGTTTCATCCACATGTTAAAAAGTTAGAACCATCGTGTTCATAAGATTCCAGATTTACAAACGGTCACAATATTACTTTTCTTCAGGTTGAAGTATGTTCAGGCTCACTAGTGGACGTTCTCCAAGCTGTAGTTGGAGGATCGGATGGCTGCCTGTTCTCGTATGGTCACGCTGGATTAGGTAAACTTATACCACGAGTCTTTTGCCACTTCAAAAGCGAGAGGGAAACTAAACAGCGTAAACTTTCGCAAAGACTTCTGGGACCGTTACTATGGTTACGGAAAAAAAAGCGCGTCCTTAGTAGCGATCCCAGAAACAACTGCGGGACACATTTCGGCCCCAGTCCCCTATCCGCTTTACGAGCAAAATTTTTAAAAAATATTTGATGTTGTATTTTTTAGTACTTTGTATTTATAAATACCTATGATCGTAACTTTATTTCGATCCATACTTCTCTTAGGAAAAACCAACACAATGATTGGCCGAGATGAAAAGGAACAAACTTTAGGTTTGATTCCCTGCGCGTTGTCGTGGCTGTTCAGACTAATAAGCGACCAGAAACAAAAGTAAGAGAAAAGTAAACTTCTTTTCAGTTGTGGCTTAACCAGTTATATTCGATATTGATTGATGTTATTTTGCTTTCTTCTTGATTGATTTTAGAACGGGGACGAAATTTTCCGTTCGGGTATCAGCAGTCGAGATCGTTGGCCGATCGGAAACCGTTCGGGATCTACTCTCCGAACAAGCCACAGGTAATGACTGTAAAAAAAACCACAGCTCAGTTTAAAACCTGAAGCTTAACACCCCAAGAAAATGTAACCAAAGATTAAACTTCAATAAGGGATAAAATCGTAAATGATTTTATTTCTTAATAATAATGAGTCGATAAACATCAGTATTATTAAGTAGGTTCTTATGAAAATATGGTAAAAACAAAGTAGGGTGATAACTTGAAAATTTTGTTTCTTTACTTTAAGGTTAAGTTTATAGGAAAAAAAGCTAATTCCTCTCACTTTTTTGTGTGTTTGTGTTCAAAGGGATAGAAAACGGCATCGGGGATCCAAGCCCTAGCGTGTTTCTAAAAGAAGACCGTATTGGTGGAGCGCAGGTAAACAATTTTTTTGTTACTTTAACCCCTTTAAGGCCTCTTATCCTCATACAATCTCTCACGACTGTTCTCCATTTCCTTGCAGAATTAGTTGAGAGAATTTGATAAAGATCAAAGCATTTTCTATTGGTGGTCAATCAATTAATTCTCATGACTTTTTTCTCTTGTTCATGTATTGATATTGTAAGAAGAGAATTCATTTTAGTCACCCTTGAAACTTAAAAGGTTCAACTCCCGCAAGACTGGTTTAAGACACCAATATGGCCGCGGTTATATCGTTTTAGGACACCAAAACGCAACAGGACGACAGAAAAAACAAGACGGCAAAACGCTTGTGTGTGACAAAAGTGACAGGCCTATTACTTATGTGTTTTCTGGTGATCTTCACTTAAGTAATTGTTGTTTAAAGGAGGGTGAAGTTCGGCGGGAAAGTTTTTCAAATTATTGTCACGCTTGTCACACAAGGTTTGCCGTCTTCTTTCCTCTCTCATCCTGTTGCGTAAGCTCACAAATATGGCCGCCGTGACGTCATGTGAAAAGGTTCTAATGGAAAGTGCCTATGACATGCGCAACCAGCTTCAATCCTGTATAGTATCAAACTTCTCTTGTTCTCTTGTAATTAAAAAGACAAGTAAAATTTAGTAGGAATCTGCCGTGACGATTCTTAATCCCGAGATTGAAGAATCTAATCACTGAGAATGCTTGGCGTCTTTGTAATGGACACGATTTTTGTCTAATTTCAGGAGATCAATCCCACGGAGCTTCGCGCAGCTACTGCTGAGAAGGCAGCGTACTATCTTGACGCCGCTGTTTCTTCAAGAACAAAACCGCTGACCAACCAGACTGAAGGTACGGGGCTTATGTTTCGTTTTGTCTGCTACACATTTGCGGAAATCGAAGAACAAGCAGTTTAATAACTGATTTTTTTTCTGGTTCTCTTTTTTTCTTTCAGAAAACAACGATTGGGAAGAAAAAATGAACTCTCACATGTTCTTTACAGTTCATATCTATCAATACCGCGTGGACAAAAACTCCAAAAATGCTGGCGGAGGTAAGAAAATTTATGATACTCGTTCTCGTGTAAATTTTGCTATTTACTGTAAATGATCTTCATGACAAGCTTCGACCTCCTTCAATACAGACACGTTATCTCGTTCACGCAGTTTTACGTTTCTCTTGAACCAGTGTTTTGTTTTTTCTCGCCAGTCCACGGAGGCCGTTCTCGGTTACATCTGATCGATCTCGCCAGCTGCGAGGGGTACACTGGGTCCAAGAAAGATGGAGGAGCCAGCAGCATGTCCTTGTCTGGACTCGGAAACGTGATCATTTCCCTGATAAATGGCGCCAAACACGTGCCACACAGGTGTGTGTCACTGAAGTAAAAAGCCTGAGTCGTGGGCGCCGGTTAATTTTTATAGAGCGCGCGAGAGTAACACGCAACAACAACAATACAGTACATGCCTCTCCTTTTCGCCCCTCCTTTGCGCGTGCGCGTTCTCGATATTTCTCCTTTCGTCGTAAATGACAAGCAAATATCACGACAGCGCATGGTAAGAATAAAGCAGACTAAAGTGAACTACAAAACAAAGTCTTCATGTAGTTATATTTGCACGAGAAAAGGCTGGACTGACTTTTTTCTAAAAATTAGAATAATATAACGCAGAAGAGGAAAAGGACTCTCGCAGATCAAAAATTGGGGTGACGTAAATTTTACGTGTCGATTTAAATTGACAAAGTTCAGTTTAGTTTAGAAACACCATTGTAAACAAGTTGCAAGAGAAAATCCAACTTATTTGCAGAAAAGTCGGTTATTTATCTATTTATTGATTGATTGATTGATTTCCTCAACAGAACAAGTAAAATAACACGCATGCTCCAAGAGTCAATTGGAAATATGTCATGTCGTACAACGATGATTGCGCATGTCTCACCTTCGCTTCCATTCTACTCTGAAACCCTGTCCACTGTCCAGCTTGCTAGCAGGCTCCACCGCCTCCGCAAACGAAAGGGAAAGGTAAGCAAGCGATTGTCATATCGTCATTTATTTTTGAAGCCTGGCTAGTCCCAGACTTCCTCTTTAAAATAAAGGAAATCGCACAAAAGGTACACGCTAATATCGAACGAAATTTATCATCCGGAAGTCGGAGTTGTCATATAGCAGATACACTGGGCCACTGAGTTTCAGTATGGAAATATTAAACGTCTGTACTGTGGTCTCCGACTTTTCTTCGAGACCATATTGATCATTACTAAAGAGAATTCCGCTATTCCCTACGAGCCCCGACAGGTGACGTAATCTAAGACTTTTGATCCGGGATCATTTTCTGAACAATCAAATCACCTATAGCCACTAATAATATCTCTGCAATTTTGTTTTGTTTATAGAGGGAATTGTCCTGCTATTTGTACTTGTTATAATTAATTTTTGTGGTCTCTTTGACGACCGCCCTTTGTACCCAAGATACAATGAGAAGGCTTATTGGGTTAGCTGCTCAAATATGTTTTCATTCCTTTGATTTTGTTATAACTCCACGCATGGCGCACTCTATTCATTTGAACATACCTCCCTTGGGCCAGCCTCATGCGAATTGCATTTCCACACACGCGAGCCATTTATCTTTGCGCCAAAGTACGTCTTGCAATTCGCGGACGGGTTTGGAATTAATCGCGCAGTTTCTGTGCGAAAGGGAATTGGTAAGTGCCGATATCTTTTGCAATATTTGTGCGCAGACTTGCGAGATATCATTCCTTGTACTGAATATTAGCTAGGAAACTTTACTGCCTCGCTGAATACTTAGTATTTTAGGCAAGGCCACTGTTTCAATAGTACTCTTTCCAATATTTTATAAATTTGACTCGTCAAGTAAACCATACGCGCATTCATCAAAATCAGTGTATTATACTTGAAGAATCTTTAAAGTTTACCATCTTCATGGATCTGCCTCCGAAATATGCGAAAATGTCTCTTACTTTTTGTTTTATTTCATAAAAAAGTACAGTATGCGAATGTTCTGCCATGGAGGGCTCAGTAATTTGAATGATTTCATCATTAGATTTCGTCCACACAACTTAGTTTACCGTGGTATATTTTCTCTGTTATACACTTGAATTATATATATAACTATTATCCGACTTCCCGTGGCATATAGCTACATGATTCATGTCTAAATCTGTGTTCTGCGAGAATTATGGTTTATCGATTCTGTAACTAAAAGAGCAAGACAAATTGGCTCTAGCATTTTTAATTCATTGAATAGTTTATACACATTTGGGTAACGAAGAAAGAGAAAAACAATTAATAAAGTTAAAATTGCTCGAATATTTTTCGGAGATCTAGCTCAGCGCAGAAATGTGGCTTTGTTAACACAGAAATCGCCTTCGTAACGTTGAGTAAAGGGCAAACTATAACGCTGAAGAACTGTCTATTTTTGTTACACTGAAGTTAGTTGCCAGCTCTGCGATATTGTGGTCTTGGGAACTATACGTCGCGAGTGAGTACCAGGACGTTCTCAAGCAAGTTATTTTGAATAAGTATTTTTGAACAGTCTGGACTCGGCAAGAATGACAAGGGAACAAAATAATTTTTGTACTGGCTTTTGTTTTTTAGACATATTTGATCCCTGTCGAGGCATACTACCAATTACAATGAAATGCTGTAAAAAATTATTGCACAAAAATCACACTGCTTCGAGCTAGATAGTTCAAGCACTTTTCAGTTTTCACTTGGTGTCAGAACGAATGTGCATTACTGTCCTTGCTAAGAGCTAAAAATCATCAACACATGCTAAAACTTCAAGCTTGTAATTAAGATTTACACTTTTCAATTGATTTGATATCCCGTAGAGCAAGTTAAAAGTATGTACTATAAACAATCATTTGTAATTCAATTTGAGCAGAATGTTAGTGAATTTCACTTTTAGCCACTAACGAAACAAACCAGCCCCTTCAAATGTACTAACTCTACAGCGATTATGCTTGACATTTGATTGTTTTGATAGTTTTTGCCACTGCATCCATGTTTGATATATTTTCCTGGCCTCAGCCCTGGGGCAATATTCTTATCGCCCTGTATGAGTTTTTAAGCCTCGATGTTTGCCAATTTTGACAAAGATGCCCTCTCGTGCTGTGAAGAATTTAGGTTATAAATCATTTAACTCTGTCGTTTATCTGGAAGTGTCTTTTTAAACGATTGTTTTATCTGCAGACAAAAGTAGTAATTATGATTTCTGTACCACTAACCGCAGAAAATAAGAGATATGCAAGTGGTGTAAATGTCTTTTTCCAAATGTAGAAAATTGTTAATACTTTTAATGCCTACATCATCCAATATAATACTTGCGGTGTAAGGATGTTTATAATTCACCCTCAGTTCTGTGATTATTCCTATATTAACAAAACTAATACAACTCAGTGTCTTTTTGGAAAGGATTAACGTGTTTAACATATAACAATACGATATAATCCTCGAAGAGGCAGTGAGACACTTCAATTTGAAAGGGTCAGTATTATCAAGCGCTTATTAAATCTTGACCATATTAGCTCAATAGGTTAAGGCAATTTGAATGTGTGCTTTGATAAGAAGTGCTCGACTGTACTTGATTTTTCCCTACCTTGAGTATTTTTTAATGACATCCTAGGCATTTTAATGACTAATTCCATCATTTTTCAGGGATCTAGCACAAGTTCCTCCGGGGGTGAAAGTTCCTGCGACGAGTCCCGAATTCGGAAGCCAAGACTTCGAACAGCCGAGCCAAGACTACGAACCACAGCACTGAACGAGAAGCTGCGCGAAGATTGTCCAATCGATGAACCTGGTAGTTCCGACTACAACTCCAGCACTGGCGAAGAATCCTGCGATACAGTGATATACGTGGGTCCTGACGGGGCCATAAGTGACCGGGAGCTCACAGATAACGAGGGGCCGCCCACTAGGCTCCCTCTCAAGAACTCTAGGGTGTCCAGCAGTACACAGTCCCTTGTGAGGAAACTAGAGTCCATTGAAAACGAGGAAGTGGACGACAAGGAAGAAAGTGAAGAGATAAAACGTGAGGTGGAAGGCAGCGAGGACAGTGGAGGCCTCGTCAAAGAAAACATTAGAAAAGAATTTTCCAAACGTGAAGAAGGAGAGGGCGAAAGCAGCGAATATTACACCGAAGAATCGTGTTACGAGACTGAAATAGAAATTCCCCCGGAAAATCCAACGGCAAGTCGGAAAAGACTTCATGATAAAAAAGTTAGCCCGACAAACAGTATTGAAAGAACACGAGAAGACGCGAAAAGAACTAGGACATATCTTAGCGACTCTGAACAAAAGGAACTTTATGAACCCCCAGCTTCCGAGCTAAATACCTTGATTCTGCCATCCAAGTTTGGGTCAAACCTTGACCTTGATGAAACTATGAATTCTCAACACACAACTGTAGTTATTCCTGTCCAGTCTTTCCCAGGCGAGGAGGCCAAGCTGCGCACGCGTGTAATGAGCCCAGAGACCTCAAGTGAGTCTTCAGACGCTGAGAGTATAGTAATGGCCAAGGTGCCGTCATTTTCGTTTCTCACTTGCGAGGCTATAAATGACTTTCCCACGGACTCTATCTCAATGGAATCTCTGAACATGGAGCAGGACTTGCACGATTACGAATTGTCACGCCATAACGGTAACCCCGCTGCTGAGCACAATGGTAACGCAATCGAAGCTGGAGATTCGCTCAATTCTGAACTTGATTTCTTGGATTATGAAGTATCGCAGCACTACGAAAATAGACAAAGTCACGTGAGTGGTAAGACAACCGAGGAGCTGATCAAAAACTGCCAGCCACCCTCACCGATGTCAGAATCCGGAGAATTATGCTACGTCGTCGAAGAAACTCGAGAGACAAGCTCGGAAGAATTATCATACGATGATTCTGAGATTGCGTGGGGTAAAAAGAACGCGGACGATGCAATCATTGCCGAAGCTTTTTGCGAAGAGGAAAAAGAAATGGAAGAAGATGATTCCGAGAGAAATTTCACCGGAAATGAGACGGATGTTCTATTTCCGGAGCTGGAGGAGCGCTTGCAGGATGTCGACGCATGCGCGTCTCCTGAGACTGCAGCCGGGGAAATGGTCCAGCATAAACCGGGTCACCGTCAAGGTTCAGACGATAGCGCCACGGATTCTGATACCGACGTAACGCACAGTTACACGTTTGAAACGCCAATGAAAACGTTCTATCGTCTCGTTCCTTCTCCCCAGTCGTCATCTACGGAGGATGAACTCGAGGACATTCACGTATTGAAACCGTTTCACAGTAAAGTTTTGTCTCCAATACCTGAGTTTCCGTCAGTCGAGTCTAACCTGAACAGAACGTCTGCTGACTCACAAAACGGTAGCAATAACCGCGCCAGCTGCAGTTACAGCATCGTTAGCGTTGAAATTGATGATGGAAACACAACTGTTCGTCTTGAAGGAGACAAAGAGAATATTCCCATGGGAAATATTTCAGTCAACAACAACAAGGGAGACTTACGCTCACTTCTTCAAAAATTCGTCGCTGAGCAACTGAGAGAATGCGAGGGCGAAAAGTTCTCATCACGGTATGTTCGACCAGCCGCTCGACATCCGGAGAATCGCCGACCACGTCCGAGGTCCAACCGACCACCTGTTCCCCTGTCTTCGTATGACACATCAAATAGTGACACTTTGTTACCGCCTCTGGTACCACAAAAGCGCACGTGTACAGAGACTGCTAGGCTCATCTCCAGTCCTAAACTTCGGTTTCGCGGTGAGAGAGACTATGACAGTGACACTGCGCCGTGCGCTGGCAAAACTCAAGATGAGGATTGGTCGAGTGATAGCTCTATGACGGCTAAGACAGAGCCCTGGTGTACGCCAAGCCGAAGGGTCGTAAGATCGCGTTTTGCATCAACGCCAAGACTTTCGTCGCTTGCGGTGGGCAATATGAAAACCAGCGTTACGTTTCTGGGAAGTGAGGATGAGAATAACAATTATTATGGAGCCAGTAGTCTGGAAAAAAAGTGCGTTATAGAGGGTGAGGACATGTTAGATTATTCCTTAGCAAATCCTGATGACAGAACATCGGATCATGTTGCATTTAAGGACAGCAAGAGCTGCAATGCGCATTACGTTAAGGCAAATAATAGTCCCTCTAAGCGAAGCGACCGCTCATCCGTTAGTTCTGTGTCCAATTTTGTGAAGTTGACTTACTGCGGATCCGAGCTATCGGACACAGAGTACACAGAGAAAGCTGACAAAGCTTCAAAACAAGATAAACCATCCAAGAGAACTTTATCACCAATTCCTTCTGCGGCAATTTCGGTTTCTGTGGAAAGACCGGACATACAATACCGTCCGGTTACTCCAGAAACGCCTTACGCTCCGCAGGAAGAGTTTATCTCCCGTTTTCACGATCGAAATTCTCCGCCTAGGATAGTTTACCGGCTATCCGGGGAATTTGTGGCGACGATTCCCTCCGATTCTAACGTAGAGAAACCAGATACTCAAAACGCAGTCACAACAAGCGGACGTTCCAACCGCCAGTACCGCCTCTCTGGGGAGTTCATAGCAACGTTCACAACAGCTGCTGCCAACACGCAAAGCGCGTCTACGTTGGCGTTGACGTCATCAAATACGGACGAGACCTGTCCAAAATCTGAGAGCACAGAGGTGGTCTGGGTGCAGAATGAGCCCGTGGTATCAGCTGGGGAGACGACAGCGGATGAGATGTCGGGCCCTGCTACCCCTGTTCCTACAAGGAGTGGAAAGTTTGGAAGATTCAAATTTTTCGGGTAAGTAGATTGAAGTCTTTTCTCTCGTTTGTTAACCCCGTTTTTTTATATGGTTCATAGACTTGAATCTCAGGTCATAGTACTTTTGATTGAACAGGCTCATTTTCACTGAGCATTACCATTGCAGTCTCATTGTAAGGATGACACGGTAGTATTCAGAGTACGTGTAGGTAGCTCGCGCTAGAACGCAGCTCCTTCCCGCGATTAGTAATCCCCTAAAGCTATTTCTGCGCCCAACGAACGCAAGAGAAAAAAAATGTGCTGGTGTATATTCTCAAGGGGTCGATTTTTGCATGACACGAGCGTGCTTAGGGCAGAAGACTTGGAACAATCACGCTATAAAGTGCGTTTTCACATGACGTCACGTCCGCCCCATTGGTATTCCAAAACAAGGAAACGGCGGCTATGTTGGAGTTCTAAACCAGTTCCATGGGATTGAACCTTTTTGTTACGCAAAAACGTTCCTTTGTTGCAATGAATTTGCAAAGCTGCCGGCCACGTGAGTGAAAATGCTCTGACTTTTAGTTTCTGGGAAACTGCCCACCTACCCCTCCCCTAAACCAACATTAATACTTAATTCTTACTTAGGGCAAAATGTTGTCTTAGGGGAGGGGTAGGTGGGCAGTTTCACAGAAACGTGAAATGATCCGGTATTTCATTACCTCCTCATATTGAGTTTTGCCCGTTTTATCGTTCCTCTTTAGGCGAGACCGCAGTAGTTACAGCAGCGGTCATGCAAGTGACAGCAGTATTGGAGACTCTTCGGGATTCCGCGGTCGAAGTCGTTCGCTTAAAAGAGCGAAGTCACGTACGTATATTCCTCTTGCTTGCTAGTTGGGAAATGGCTTCGAAACGTTAGCTCTGTTAACTCACAACCATTTGCCATGGTTTGTAGTAGGTGATTAATTAGAGTGTTCTTGTATAATTATAACGCCTTTCCGCTGTTTTAATTTTGATACAACACTGAGTGGAACCTAAGATATTTTTTGTATTTCCTTGTAGTGTCTTCCAGATCTGACGCAGCCAGCAGTAGCGGTTATGAGAGCATGCGCAACGATGCTAGCCACGCATCCAGTGACAGCTGTAGCGAGAAAGGACTGAACCGTTCAAAAAAGAAAGGTAAGAAAATCCATTTTCTTAAGCTATTCCCTTAAGAGGAAATATTGTTTTACTGCTTCAAGAACCTTGTTGGTAGGCGCACGTTTGTTTAAACAACGAATTCTGTTGGAAAAGAAATCTAAAAAAGGTTTGAAAGTTTAATGATCCGTACTGTGACACTTTGGGTTAGTGGGCCTGTGCTTCGGTCCATTGGTCATGACACAGATTATTATTACCATAATAATGATCTTAGTTGGATTCATTCGCGGTATATGCATATGGCTGTCGCATTTTCCCGTTAGAAGTTTTAAGTTTTAAGCTGAAAAAAACAAAACAAAAACAAAAACAAAGCAATTCCAACGGGCAAAAGCGACTGCTATGCGTATCGATCCATCTCATATCTGTTACTTCCCTTTAATTACAACCTCTAAAAATAACTTAAGTGAGATTCACATATCTTGGCCGACGCCCTAAGAATCGCCCTCTTTCGCATTATTCTCTCTTCAGCCCATTTAATCAAATGTGCTTAGTAGAGTCCCTACTTATTCGTTAGTGGTGTGTAATTGTTTCGAGAACTTATGAGGTCCTTAAATTTTAGGTTCTTACGGCAGGAGCCGCTCTACGTCCCCCGGTTCTGGCTCCAGAATTCGGAAGTACTCACCAAGGCGCTGGTTCTCAAGAAAGTCCCTGGATGAGCCAGTTCAGATAAAAGTTTACGAAGTCGAAGACATGGAGAAAATAAAGAAGGCCATGGACCCAAACTTTCAGGTAAAAAAAATATGAGAGTGCTGCTGAACAGTTACCCGAAGGGGTTTCATTTGAATGGTCACACCATAGGATTTCATCCACAGACTCAAATGTTAGAACCACCTTGTACAGCATAATAAACAGTACCACAGGAAAGTACTGCTCAGTAGCTTTCATTTGAATCAGGTCACACCATAGGATTTGTGTTAAGAGTCCGAAGTTGAAATCATTGTCTGTGATTTTGGGAGAGAAACGTTTTACCTGAAAACGTAGCAAATGGTTGATTTTCAAGTCTAGGATCTCTAAGTAGTATCAGATTTGTTTAAACCTCTCACTTATTGTTATTTTTGTTTCTATTATTCAGTGGCAGGATTCCGAAAAAAGGCAGTCACGAATTGCTTCACTAAGGCAACGACAACGTAATCTGAAGGATGAATTCTCAGAGGCCAAACAAAGGCTGCTAGATGAAAACCAAAGATGGAGTTATGGACGTAAGTTTTGGAATGTATCGTATGCATATCGCTTGTCGTTTTCATGATTTCAGGCCGGGAGAGAATTAGTATTCATTCTGAAAATGTTCCGGCCAAACTTAGGTCGTTTTCATGGCCCTATATGGTTTAAAAAATGAGGTCCGAGACAAATCCCTTAACAATAAAAGTGCATATTCCGGAGTATCTATTATGTAAAAATAGGTTATAACTATTTCGTTTCTTTATTTCGATCAGAAATATGGCTTTGAATTGCGAAGGAAAGGCTATCGACGATTAGAAATGCTTTCGTCCCTGTTACAATCAGCTGTATGAGACATCAAAAAAATTTTGCTACATCTGTTTTTCTTTCCTTTCTTTGCAGTGAGAGCGGAGAAAGAGCTCGACAGCAACGATCCGAGGTTTATCAACGCGCTTGAAGAAGACAACAGAAAACTAGAAAAAAGGATTGCTGCGTTTAAATCCAACATCATGATGGTGACGTCATTTGATAAAATTACGACAACAGTTTAAGTTGTGACGTCATAGAATACTAACGCTATTGACACTGCATACATTGATATATATAATATATAGTGTGATATCATCATCGTGTAGACTAATCGTTGTATGAAAATCAAGTAACGTTGCTAAGTGATGTCATCAGGTATCTAAGTGCATAGGGCGTTTTCACATGACGTCACGTCCGCCATATTGTGTCCCAAGACAGTGAAACAGCGGCCATGCTAGAGGAATATCCAACCATCCCGATCTCGTCGGGATTCCCCCGATTTTGCTTGAAAATCCCGAATTCCGACCAGTATGCGATGCAATTGAGATAGGAAAAATCCCGATTCTGACATCCGTCCTGATACTTCCTTATGAATTCTCTTGATACTTATACAAGCACACCAAAGAGAGTATACCTTGGACAGAAATTGTCCTTCTCGGAACACCAGAAATGGCGTTGCAGAGCATCAAGATCTCAACATTTTCTAGGAGAGCATGGCCCCTCACCCCGCCTAGCGGCTCGCGCCTTCGGCGCTCGGTAATTCGTGGGTCATTGAAAAATATCCCGATTTTACATACCCCATAAGGTTGGACAGTCCGTGCTTGTTCCCCAAACCAGTCCTGTGGGACTCGAACCTTCTTTAATTATGTAAAAACGTTGATTCTTTTGTTCCAATACACACATGTGTGAAAACGCTCTATAGCATACATCTCAATAATCTTTGTTAAAGAGTTAGGTTTTGTAGCTTTCGAACATAGCAAGATATCTGTGTTGTTTAGCTTTTACGCTCAACAAATTTCTTTTAGAAGTTTTGGAATATTTTAAAGGCAAATTTTTGCCTCGAATTGTTATTTTTCAAAGTAAAGTTTTCACTATAAAAGAAACTAACTTATTTTTATTCCCAGATGACTAAGCTTTAAATTACAGTATTTATATCTCACGATAGAAATATTTTCTAAAGTTTCTTTAAAGTTATTGTTATTCATATCATTGAACTAAATAGTAATAAAAAAAATAAACAAATAAATTCTACAGTGGAACTGAAGTTAAATGAACCGCATTTCACTTCGAGCAAATTAGATAATCCTTATGTTCATTCTAACCATTTCATGAAGATTTTTTTCCAGAGTCTAGTATACTTTTTTATTATTTAAAGTTGAAAGCGTGCTTTACAATGTATATAGGATTGTTTGATTGTATGTATTAGCAGGAGCCCGATTAATGCCAGCATGCATATTGCACTTTGCCGACTTCGATGTTGTAACCTCTCGATTGTATCAATATACCACAATTTCACTGATTCGTATGGCCGCAAATTTGGTCATTCTGTAGTTGATTCTTATTTGGTTTGTGGTTAGATATTATGGGAAAAAAATGCTACGCTTCAGCGAGATTGTGCGATCACGTTCTCTATGGCGTGTATCGGCCGCATTGCATGCTGGGGTAAGATGCAGATTGGGATGGGAGGGGGGGGATTAAATTTTTACAACAATGAATACTGTAACAAAAATTTTGTCGTGTGATAATAGCTTAGAAAATAATGTTTTTAGAAAGTGATGCATGGACGGATATTTCTTGAAATTAGTTATCATAAATTGTCAGCTAGTAATCACCCTGGTAATTAAGTTGTAATTACTGATATTTGCTGCGGTTTTAAATTTTAATGATAGTCTTTATGCAAGGGCTTGAATATCAGGCTCATTTTGGTCCACTGAGACTTCAGCTTAAACGAACTTTAATAGTTGGTCGAAGCAAAGACATATTTTCACTCAAAAAAAGTACACCAGTAAGATTGAAATAATTGCGTTCGCCACATTGAAAAGGACGTTATATGCATTTGAGATAAAAGATAGAAGTTACAGAATGTACTAGTAACCTGAAAGAAAGTCTTTTAGAACTATTAAAATCAGTTGTGCTGTGATAAAAGGCATAACCACTTAAATGTTACTCTTCGCTGTGAGGACTTATCTCCACTTCGATGCGTTTTAGAAGTGTTCTGGGCTTGTTTCTCCTGTTTTAGGGAATGAACTCGTTGTTAGGTCTAAGTACTACATATACATGTACCACTACTATAGAACGGCTCATTGCCCGATGAAATCATTTAATATAAGAGCGACCGTCACTGCTCAAGATATTATAATAGTACCTTCATAACTAAGGGAGTTTAATCCTTACAAAAACACAAAACAATATTGTAAACGAAGATATCAAACTTTTTAACGTTTAGGCTCAGTTTCTTTAGACGACGTTCTTCACATTTCACTGAGCCACGTTTGTATCTACTTAGCTAGAATTTATAAAGAATGTATAGTTTTGACTGCAAATAAAATTCACCTGTAGAGATGGAGTGGAAACTTTTAAAGTTTGTCTCAATATTAGATCAGAGAAATTTAAAATTGGCGCGCGAACAGTAAATAAACGGTAGACTAAGACTGTGCTCTCACTGTACCGGATAGCTTTAGCGCCGGCACGAAAACCATACCGGATACGGCTTCTGTTAACATATAAGAACGGTGATTTTAGAGCGATTTCTGTAACGGCGCGAAGCTGCGCCGCCCTAAAGGTGTGTACAGACTAGGCGACAAATTGCAGTAGACTACGAGTAGTTCCTCATTTTCCCTCAGGGATAGTAGGGCAGGCGAAACGCGAGCTCGCGTGAAAATCACCCCGCGAAAGAAAGGCGAGACTCGGAGGGTGAGGCGCTGCGGGCGACAGTCCTCTCTCCCTGCCGCGTCTCGCCTTTCTCGCGTGGGGTAATTTTCACGCGCGCTCGCGTTTCGCTCGCTCTACTATCCTTGAGGGAGAATGAGAGACTATTTGTAATCTAAATTGTATGGCTTTTAGTGTCGGCACGAAAGCTTATCCGGTATAGTATGAACATAGCTTTAGATTCAGCATTGCGTTAGGTTAATCATTGCAAATGCGCGTTTGTATGTTGCCATAAAATACACAAACTCTAGATAAAATAGGACATTAAAAACATGAAGTGTCGTAACAGACGGTTAGCCGTAAATTAGAGATAAAGTTTGGACACTGTTGAACAAGCTTTGCCCCTCCCCTGCTCATGCAAGTCCTGTAGCTTTTAAGAAACTCAACATAGCAAGTACAAAGAGCAGTTAAAATTGAACTTACGTCGTTTCCAAACGTAAAGCAATCGTCCGGTTGTTGAAACGTGAAGAATCAACTTTCTCACACGGCTACATTTTGCATGAAAACAAAACACTTTGCTCGACTAACTCTAGACTAATGAACGACAATTTCAGGCGATCAAAAACAAAAGCTTTTTATTCTCCGGGGACTTACTTCGCAGCCGAGTGCTAGGCAACAAGATCAGCACGAAGTACGATGCACGTGCGTTTTTTCGCGATTTATTACATTTCTTTGCCGATTGTCTGCAAATCAAATGAAAAATTGAAGGTTTTTTGCAGAGCCTCAATCTGGGAATACACTTTGATTTTACCAAAGCTCCTGAATTTTAGTCCGACAACCCAATTGAAGCAATTTTTTTCTTAAATCTTATCTGCGTGATTCTCGCAGGGTTAAACTTGAAGATCGCTGAAGGCGGCTTTTATAAAAACTTTCTTGTGAGGTACGATGTTACGGTGAAATTTAAAGTAACAAGACATGTTTCTGTAGTTTTTAAACATTTATTCCTCTCTAAGATTGCGCTACAGCTAAAAAGGAAATTGTTTTATCAGAATGCGTGAAACCCTGATTCGCCACATCAGGAGGGGACATTATTATCAAACCATTACAGAGGGGAGAAGTCGTTACGTCACGTTGCCATGGTAGCAAACTTTCTGGATCTCAACAAACCGTGGTCCAACAAATATCACAGAAAAAAAAAAAAAAAAAAAAAAACAGACATGTATCCCTTTCCTGCGCATCATTGCACTGAGGAACAAAACGGTAGCCCCTTTTCTTCCATCGTTCGAGAATGCAAATGGCCGTCTCTCTTAAGAACCAGAAATTTTGCTAACATGGTAACGTGACGTCATACTTCTTTCTATTAGTCCGTTATCGTAATGAGGTATTACCGGTGAATATAAACACCGATCACACAATGATGCAGGGCCGTGATGAAATGCGTCATGATCACTTTCACTCTATCAGCGTTTTAGCTCGAAACTTGCAAAAAGTTCGAGAAACTGTTTAACTCCAACAGTGTGAGTCAAAAACAAATGCCAAATTTATCAGTTTTAAGAGCTACCAAAATTTTGGTAGATAATTGAAAAAAGGAAGAACGAACTTAATCTGATTGGTATTCAGTTTTAAAATGTTCAGTTGGGTTCTTCTTCGCCTTCTTCCTCATCTTCGAACTCTCCTTCCTCTTCGGCCGTGGCGTCCTGGTACTGCTGGTACTCCGACACCAGGTCATTCATGTTGGACTCTGCCTGCGAATAAAGAGGAGAAACAGGGTTAATCAAAGAAAACAATCCCTTGAGTATCGTCACACTGGGGCAACAAAACTACGCGTCCACGTAATTATCGCCCTCCCCCAGAGGTCTATTACCTCAGTGAACTCCATCTCGTCCATCCCCTCCCCCGTGTACCAGTGCAAGAAAGCTTTGCGTCTAAACATGGCTGTAAACTGTTCACCAATTCGCTTAAACAGCTCCTGGATAGCAGTGCTATTGCCAACGAATGTCGAGGACATCTTGAGCCCGCGAGGAGGTATGTCGCAAACAGCGGTCTTGACGTTGTTCGGGATCCACTCGACGAAATAACAACTGAAATCGTAAAAAGGAGAAACAATTGATCTCGATAAACGAAATAATTAATTTAAGGCTAACATTGCGACTTATATTATCCTAAATTTTTGCAGTATGGTTTCATTTCCTGCTACTGAGTTCAGTGACGCGCCTGAAACATTATGCGGAGTAGTCTAGTTTCGAATTAAAAATTTCCGCTGAATACAAACATTAACGACACATTCATACAGGTTTAGCCTCGACGTAAAGTAAAATATTCAGAAATTCCGGTAAGTAAGTGCTTGAAATTTGAAAATACACTATAGACAGAGTAATAAACAGGTCTTTTTCTTGTTGGAATTTGTGAATATATTACTTCAGATGGAGGCTAAGGCTGTAAAAAATGCGTCTTCAGTTCTTTAATTCAGCGGTCATAGCGAACTCGAAACTGGACTACTGGAGTCAGAAAGATTGCGAAAATAAAACGACAGGCAGGAACAAACTATCCAAGAAATTCATTCGATTCGTCTGAAACAGAATTTGTCTTGGTTTCTATAGTCACTATGATCTTTCTATAGTCGCTATAATCGAGTTGCACGATTATTCCTAACCCTCTCTTCAACGACTGATAATAATTTAAGCCACATAGAAAAATGAATATTAAATTGCTGTTTTATTGTAAAAGTAACTGCTAATCTACTGCTCTCTGTTAATAATAGATGGTACTCTATTAAGCTTAGTAATTGTTTATTTTAAGCTTATGCGAGAGACAGAGTACCCTTCGAGCAGAGCCTCATTTTGTTTTCTTGAGTGGGGAGGAGTAAAGGAAGCTCTGCCTGAATCACGTCAAACCTTTGAGTCGCCGCAGCCCAAACTTCTAGACCAGTCAATCTTGTTATCTCTCGTCAAACTGGTTTTTTCGAGTGCGAGCATCCGTTTATTAATAAACCGATGGTCATATCCGAGCCCGCTGTACTAAGCACGCCGATATTAGGCCTGGGTTTGAAACAGTATCCTAGCAACATGCGGCGCATGCTCAGCAAAGATCTTACTCGATTCAAGCAGTGTCTTTCTTGAGTGCGCCAAAATCAAGCAAGTGAAAGAAAGGCTCTACTGACAGGGTGAAAAATAGCGTCGTCAAGAATCCAAACAAGCAGACCTGTTTTTGTTTTGAACGTTCAACATTTGTTCGTCAACCTCCTTCATTGACATCCTGCCACGGAATACCGCTGCCACGGTGAGATAGCGGCCGTGCCTGGGATCACAGGCTGCCATCATGTTCTTGGCATCAAACATCTGCTGGGTCAGCTCTGGCACTGTTAAGGCGCGATACTGTTGTGAGCCGCGGCTGGTCAGTGGCGCGAAACCCGGCATGAAAAAGTGAAGGCGCGGAAATGGCACCATGTTTACTGCCAGCTTTCGTAGGTCAGCATTCAGCTAAAAGTTTCAAAATCAATTTAAACGGGGTAAGAATACATTTGCAAACGTTATAGATCAGTGAAGTGGTCAGGAACTATTTACATTCATGAGAAAAGAATTCAATAATGCCCACATGATTGGCTTGGTACATCAACGTGACTGCCGTTTCATTGTTGCTATACGTTGTTGATTTTTTCAAAGACTTCCAAAATTTCTAACGCTGAACCAAAAATTTAGCGCTACCCTTCAAAAATCTTTATCTTGTATACAACGAAACACGAAACTGTTGTTGCGAACTTTTATCGAACGGATAGGTAAGGAATTCATTAAGGTTATCACTGAAATCTAACAATAGGGCCCTGTTTGTCTCTCAGAATCTGTATCTGTCATTTAACTTCGTAACACTGACTTAAAGAGTTCTTGAAATAATTTTCAAGAAAAGTAGCAGATTTACATTTTCAATATACTGAAAATCAAATAGCAGCAGGAAGACAAACTAGCTTTTTTAATAGACCATTTCCGAGATCCAAAAACTCTCACTTTCAAAACCAGGCTAACTGCAAAACCTTTGTTGTGAAAATGAGATTTATTCGCATGGGAATAAAAAAATCATTTACATATCAATAGCTTCGCATTAAGCCTCGCTTTGAAACAGGGGCTTGGGCCAATTCGGAAATGGGTAGCCTGCGAGCCAACTCTCCCGGGGCAGCCCAGGAGAGCCTTGCTGGCAGGCTGGGAAATGGCGTATTCGAAGGGATGGTCATCGTACAGAATTCCGTCAACAGTCAAGCCTAGAACAACATTACGAGTCTAGAGCTTACTGTCAAATAACTGTACAGCCAGTTCTTTTTGTTGCCGCTGACCTACCTGGCCGGGAAATCGCAGGCACGTAGTTACGCCACTCATTGTTGCGGACACCAGATGATTCAAGTCCCCGTATGTAGGGTTGGACAGCTTGAGTGTCCGGAAGCAGATGTCATATAATGCTTCGTTATCGATGCAGTAGGTTTCATCGGTGTTCTCAACGAGTTGGTGAACTGACAGAGTAGCATTATATGGCTCAACCACTGTGTCAGAGACCTGTGATGGAAAAATAATCTCAGTCGATAAAACGCTCTCAAAGAAACGTCCCTGAAGCTATTTAAGTATGGAATCGCGCGCACATGTCTGCACATGTCAAATGCTTACAGGAAACGTATCAAAAGATGATCAATAATGATCGCAAGTAATGACGAAACACAATTCATTTTGACGGACATCACCGTCGTCACAGGAGACCTGTTTAGGACTCAACAGTCCTGTTTAAGATACTACTCCCTCGCACGATCTTGTTCCACATTTTGTTCGTGGGGAGGGGAGGGGACGGCTGTACACAGGCTACTACCAGCTAATAATCACAGATACATTGTTATACGGGCTTCTCCTCGAATCGACTTCCTTACTTCTTGGCTGCCCGATCCATTTGAATCGACAAAAAAGGCTCGATATTAAAATGACCTGCTCTGTGCCTAACTAAGGACCTCACGAAAAGGTCACTAAACCAGGACAGCCGCAGAATTGTTCCCAGGATAAAATTCAAATAACCTGAAATAAAATTCGACGAACCAATGAGGACTCGAAGCGAAAACAAGTAGCTGTCACTAATGGCGGGAAAAACGCCGAAATTGAACATGACGTAACTCATTAACATACCTTTGGCGAGGGTACCACGCTAAACGAATTCATAATCCTATCAGGGTACTCCTCGCGTATCTTGGAAATGAGCAGTGTGCCCATACCCGAACCAGTCCCTCCTCCGAGAGAATGAGTCAGCTGAAAACCCTGAACGCAGTCACAGTTTTCAGTCTCCTTACGCACCACGTCCAATACTGAGTCCACTAGCTCAGCCCCCTCCGTATAATGGCCCTTGGCCCAGTTGTTTCCCGCGCCACTTTGGCCTGTAGAAAATAAATGCATAGTGAAATGAGGCATAATAGTATAAAATAAGTCTATGTACGGTGGAGCACATAAAATACGCTATGGTACCATAACTATGGTATATATGGAGACGAAACAACCTAAAAATCCACAAACCTGATTCGCCAAATTTCTTTTACAATGGTTTTTTTGAAAAAGGCCAGTCATCTATTTAGGGCCGTCCGTCAGCGAAACAGCGCCGAAATCCTGTTTTGGGCCCCCACCTGAGTACACAGGATGGTGGGGCCCAGAACAAAGATTTCGGTAGTTCTTTGAGTCCGTTTCGCATGACGGACTTAACGTTGCCATTTTACGACTGCAAAAATCAGTCCGTATTTTTCTCCAAATCCCGACCCTATTTCAGACGTATTCAACTAAAATCCAACCTGTTTTCAGACCTGGCAGTCAAACAAAATCGCTTATTTCCCCTGTGTTCTTATTCATGGAATTGAAAGGATAAATACGTTCAGGCCCTGAAAACAGATTCCAGACCAAAATGAGCAAAGACTTTTCTGACGCCACCTATATGGCATTTACCGATTTTTCGCACTAATTTTGAGAAAAAAACCGGTTTTCAAGACTGTTTTGGCCTAGTCTATAACCATTAAGGGTCCCCCAAGAGATTCCAGACCAAACAGACCAACTCGAGATTTTTACCCAGACTCCTAACCTAACATTCAGACTTGTTATAATTCCTGATCTGAAAAAAAGAGAGAAAAAAAAAAAAATAAAAAAAAAAAATAATTAGAACACAAAACATTAATATTAATTAAAAACCTTATTCTTTCCGGTTGAATTTGTTACCAATCACGTGCTCCCTTCTTGATATAATTAACAGGCGTATCAAGGAAAAAGTGTCAGTCAATTTTAAATAAAAATGATAAAAATAATATCCAAATAATACAAAACAAATAACACGATCTCGCCTTACCAAATACGAAATTGTCGGGTCGAAAAAGCTGTCCATATGCCCCAGACCGAACAGAATCCATGGTGCCTGGTTCCAAATCGACAAGGACGGCTCTTGGGACATATTTTCCACCTGGGAAGTCAATAAGTTTAGATGTCAGACCGACTTAGTACACCTGCCCACGTAATGGACAGAGCATTAATTTGCAACCAGACAAACTATATCTATTTGTCATCAACCAATAGTATTTCCGATGGAAATTGGTTTATAGACTAAACTGATATTTAAGTGAAGTCTTTGACAAACAATGTTTTTCATTTGTAGACTTATTTGATTTCATGCCGACGGGAATAAAAGCATAATTTACCGTTCAAGTTTTCGAGTTTCATTGTTTCCATTTCGATTTAAATGTAAACAAATGGGGAATTTGTTTTTGAGATAAATAAGCCTCAGGTAAAAAAATCTATTCTTAAGTCTATATCGGAAAAAAAAATGTTTAATGGAAATTTCAAAAGTATCCGTATTAATCAAAATTGTTGGTAGTTCTTGCGTTTATAATTATAGCTTTGAATCTTTTGAAACTTGATTTGTTCAAGAAAACTTAAGCCTTCAGATATAAACGCTGTTTTTAAGTCAGGAATAAAATGGCTTCATAGTAATTTACCTATTGTGAAAAACTTGAAAGCATCATTTTACCGAAGAGTTTTGATGGGCTAGTTTCCGTAAACATTCTAAAGTAATGTTTGCCTTCGTTTTTCGTTGATGCATTAGTTAACGTGCGTCTTACAGCAAATCTGAATATTTACCCTCTTCGTCCCGGCAGGATTGAAATAAACGCGCCCAATAACACTGCGTCGACTGAGCGCTCTCTAGGATACCGCAGTTTAATAAGTACTGCTTCTACTCAAATCATGGATCGCGGAGATTGTAGTCCAGATTCATTTACAGAATAATTTTCCGCAGAATCATAAACAGCCGTTTGATTTGCTGACGATATATTTATAATTAAAGTTTCACTTCAAGAAGTGGCTAAAATCAAACACTAAGGAAACACCAAATTTTTGTAGTCTTGTCAAATTCTGAAAAAAAATTCTGTGATAAGTGATAACAACGTACAGCCAGAGCGGTTAAATATGAATGATCGTAGAACTCTGGAATCATATTTTTGACTTCAGGAGGCCAAAAACGTGTGACTAATATCGTACACAAACAGGGTCTGTGTAGTCTTTTAAATAACGGAACAGGAGCAATTCCATCATTATTTGTATAAAGGGTTCTGCTATTAAGATCTTGGAGGCCATTGGTCATAGTTCATACCTATGGCCTCGTTGTAATAAACGTCGATTTTATCAAGTTGTGTTTGAGCATCTCCAGTATATGATCCTGTGGGGTCCACACCATGTTCATCTGAAATGACCTCCCAAAACTGAAAAATATGACAAGTAATTTATCGCCTACGATAAGACTTAATAGTAAGGGTTGCAGGCTATATAAAATGATACGTGCATTATACAAACTACTGCACGGTCTAAGAAGGCCTGTGTATTTACTAGTAGTTCCGTCGTCTAAATGGCGCTAATAGAGACCTTAGAGAGCTTTAAGCAATTACGACGGGGAAGTCAACGAGAGCGGCAAAAAAGGCAATAGGTTTAGATTGGCAAAACCTGAAAACAACAGCTCTGCAAATGCATCACGCTTTTTTAACACTGCACGACTACGACGTGAAAATGGCTAATTTCACCTCTTGTTGCAGGAGGTCGAACACAACACAACGACTCTCTTTTTCTTTTCCTGAACTTCGGTACAGGCTTTTAGAATTTAACTCCAGAAAAAAATGTCAACATTTGACGAATTGAACGAGGAAGCAGCACGAATTCATTTTTTGAGTGACGTTTTCGTAGTCGTCGCCGGCGTTTTGGTTTGAGCTCCTTCTTAAGATCCGACGACGGCGACGGCAACGAAAACGCCAAAAAAGCAACCGAAAAGTAAGCCGGAGTTGGAATAACCGCGATATCACTTTTTCAAGCGACGTCGCTGGGGCTTTTCATCGCCGTCGCCGTCCTCGTATCTTTTAAGGTGATGTTACACGAGACGATTCGCGACGAAGATTGTTAGCGCAACACAGCGTTGCAACATTGTTGCGACATTGTTTCGAATGGTTACAACATTGTTCCAGCATTGCAACGCTGTGTTGCGCTAAAAATCGTCGTTGCGAATCGTCCCGTGTGACATAACCTTTAAGGTCCGTAATATTTTATGAGGAGAGTCAGTGGTCGAAGTTTGATACCATTTCTAACGCAAAAAAGTAAATATACATATCCGTATTTATTGGGGTGTGGCTCACTAAAGAAAAAATGGAAATGAAACATTCTATCAAAGCAAATGATCTCAAAATACGGATCAGAAAAAAGTCTGTCAGAACGAAGCAAATCATAGTCTTCTTTTGCTCATTTTTAGTTCGGTTTGAAAAACTTAAATTTGACGGCTAAATTTTTGAAAATGACAGTCTCTTTAAAAATACAAACCATCAAAATGCAAAATAGATTAAAATGGAAGTTGTAAAATATATGCATGTGTGAAGCCCATCTGTGAAATACGTACCTTTTCAAAAAAACAAAAGATCTAAATAAAAGGCAACACTACATAATTATATAACTTTTTGCAAAAGTTTTACTTGTATCCATTCCTGAAACTGGACAGTTTCTTGAAGCACAAAAAACGGCTCTTCGAGTAGGTGAATTTACCACATATTGAAGATAATCACATGTAAAAATTTAAATTCACCCAAAATAAGAGTAGAAATGTCTTGTTACCTTCGCTCCGATCTGATTTCCGCATTGCCCGGCTTGTACGTGAACTATTTCTCGCATTGTGACTAGCTAGTCTGAGAACAGTTAAATATCGCAAGTTATCGGCACGCTCTGGCTGCGTTATTTCACTACAATGTTTGTTTCGTAATGCAGGCGTTGCCTCAAATTAGAATATCGCTTTTTATATGAACAGGTGCACATTGTGATGAAATCAAAGAGTACCTTTTAATGATCACGAGAATGATAACCGCGGGCTTATCACGCGTTGAAATTTGGAAAAAAACTATACATAAACAAATATCTTACGCGCATATCAAGCGCGGAATATAAACATTAAATTATCTCAAAGTTATTGGTCTGTTCTTATCCTTTTTTTCTGATCTAATCTATATCAAGGTACTTTAAGAAGTCTAAATCGGCACAGAGTCAGTCCATTCTCAAGTATAAAGTTAGCCAATGTGTACGTATTACAGTTCATTTTCATCCTCGCTTCAGTTGTCATCTCCTTTTTTTTTCTTCTGTTTTAACCCTTTTTATCCTTTACTGAGCTATGGCGAGATATCGAGATGATCTGTCATTTTAACTTATCAGTCTGTGGATGAACCCCTATATTGTTACCATTCAAATGAAAGCTATTCAAGTAGTACTTTCCTGTGGTACTGTTTATTATGCTGTACAAGGTGGTTCTAACTTTTGAGTCTGTGGATGAAATCCTATGGTGTGACCATTCAAATGAAAGCTACTGAGCAGTACTTTCCTGTGGTACTGTTTATTATGCTGTACAAGGTGGTTCTAACTTTTGAGTCTGTGGATGGAATCCTATGGTGTGACCATTCATATGAAAGCTCTTTGGCTACACTTTTGCATAGTGATAATTATTTCTTACGATTTTACAAAAGCAAAATTGGGATTTCTGGCGAATTTTACCTTCACCGGTGTAGAAAGTAAAGAGGTAAATACGCCTAGATGAATTCAGTAAAAAACCCGCATTTATAAGAGCCTCCAGGCTGAATTTGGCCAATAAACACCACATATATGACCCACTCTCTCTTTTACTAATGAACCAATCCAGCCTGCTGCCGAAACTTAAGGGTTCTTAAATGCGGGTGTTTACTGTATTGCTATGAGAAATGACTGGGAAATTGTCATTGCCTGCTTTGCGTTGCAATGCAACAACCCAACCCACAGGATTTAGGTTCAGTTCAAGCTTCTAGCACATTGTTTATACTCAAAATTACGAACGTTCACTACCTGTGTTTAGTATCACTACACAAATAAATTTTTCTCTTTGAGTGAAGAGAAGTTAATATTCAAAAATGTTTCCCTTTGATTTATTTTCATTGTGGTTAAATGTTTCTATAATAACATTGAAATGTCACAAGAGAATAAAGTACAAACATCTCAACGATTCACATCGCAGGAGGACTGTTGAAGAGTTACAGTTTCTTCTTTACAAATTGGTATGATTCAGGCACAGTAAGGAGATAACGCATCGGATAAATTCTCCAGTGACTACATCGAGAAGATCTTTAAGTAAAGTAACAGTCACTGTTTCGACGCAGACCATGGTTGCAACAGGTTCACATTTAGGGATGAGGCAGTATCCTCAACCACACGGCCGTTAGTTGTCTCGTTTGCGTGACGACAGCTGCGTAAGAGACTAGGGATGAGGAATGGATGAGGACTTCAGTCCCACAGACTCGTCCCCAGCGCTTTCATGTTTTGCGCGTCAGAAAAATGCCAATCTGGTAGCGTGCGTAGCAAGCGTTTCCGCGCGAGTTCCATCTTCAATTCCTTTTGCTCTTGTTCCAACTTTCGCACAAGAGTGAAGTTACGCAACAGGACGGGAGAGGAAAGAAGACGGCACCCCTTGTGTGACAAGCGTGACAATAATTTTGTTTGAAAAAACTTTTCGCCGAACTACATCTTCCTTTGAACAGATCTTTTGTAAAAGACCAGGAAACATTAATGTTATGGGAAGAAAAAACTGCCAAGTAATAGCAGAAACCCTTATGAGTTTCTGGTAATAGCCCTGTCACCTTTGTCACACACAAGTGTTTCGCTGTCCTCTTCTTCCTCCCGTCACGTTGCGTAAACTCACTAGTAACTTGATTGGAAACGCTTGCTACGCAGACTACTAATCGGATACTTATTGGCCCTGTAGCCGACATCAATGCGCTTTTGCAATCAAAAGCTCTGTATCCACGCTTGCTCTGTGTCCACAAAGCTGGCGATACGTTCTAACACACTATCCTCAGATGCGTTGACTTTTCAATAAAATATTCAAAATATCCTAATAATTTATTTACATGTATGGTTTGTTGAGATGCAATTTTCTTATATCCATCTAGCCGAATAAGTGAAAACTTCATCCTTTTTAAGGAGTATCAACACTTTTTCACTTAGCGTAGTACAGAAAAGAACTTGATTTGAAGACGATTTTAGATAAAACTACGCTAATTCTGTTCTTCCTGTTCCCATTCTTCTACTTTACTTTCACTACGCCTTGCTACACTAAGTCTTATATACAAACTAATTGGACTAATTGATTTACTTATTGTACGATACGTATTTAAGGGGAGTTTCTTCCGCCGTCTCCTTAACTTCCTTTTTTCTAAGGCCCTTTGTCATCCGCCAATCAAAATCATAGGACGGTTTTTCTGTTTGGCAATATTGAACATTCCTACATGAGAAAATATACACAATTAATTGTAATTTCCAACCAATGACCATGCTGCGCGCAAAGCTACAAATAATAAACTTCCCTCCAAGAAAAAAGGATTAAAATCCCAGTATAGTCTAACTAAGGTAGCTTTCCAAAAGGTTGCCACAGTGGATGTAATGACAAATGCTGCTGACTTAACAAAATCGAATTAGAAGCAAGATGCCATGGGCGCTAATGTGGGTCCCAGGCCATGTAGACCAACTGATACATAACACCTGCTAAATAACCTACAGTAGATACTGCATGGACGGAGATGCTGTTGTTATGTATTGCTCATTGGTCTAGGAGACCCAAAAGTATGATTTCGATTTAACGACCTCTTTGGATGTGTCGAGGAATTTTAACGAATTTTGTAGGTATTTCAAATTAAGCTGAAATACCACTGCTCTAAGCCAATCAAATTGCAGTAATTTCTCACGTAGTAGTATAAAAGTTGATATATCTCTTTGGAACTTTAAAAAACACTTTATGTTTTGAGTACCGTGCACTACTATTTTCTTTCTTTCCCCTCCCGAGTTTTTCAATGCCCGCTGCTTCCCTTTCAATCTTCAAGGCATTACTATAAATTTTTTCCATTCAAAGTTGACATTTTAAGGACACTTTAGGAGATTAAAAAGTTCGTGTAACATCGATTAAAGTTCTGGCGTAAAAATATAACCTGCATGTTGTTTTTTCTTTCTTCCTACTGCAGCGCCGATTATTTCTAAGAGCTGATCCTCATCTGTTCCCGCTCTCAATGCATCTCGTAATGAAACTTCCGAGTTTCCAAACAAGCAAACCTGGAATTCAAAACCATTCACCACTTTAGAAAAAAGAGGGGAACTGGAGCTGAAATGCGCCCGCAATTGTTTCCGGGATTGTTACTGGTGACGCGGTGGCAAATAATCAAAGTCACTTCTTCAGCCAATCACAACACGAGCTGACAATTAAATGATCTCGTGAAATATGCGGTTAGGGGTATTAGGGACGGCAACGAGAACGTCAAAAAAACAATTGGTTTAATTAGCAAAACAACAACTTCGCACGTGCATCACACTTTTTTGTACATTTCTTTCCCGTTTTTGCACGACTACGACGTGAAAATGCCTAATTTCAGGTTTTATGGAGGACGTAAACAAGCAACGACGAAATTTTATTTCTCTTTCTGAGCTTGAATTTGGTCCCTTGAAATTCAGCTTCAGGAGGGTTCGCCTACAATTGACAAAGTGCGTAGGAATAATCGCTTATAAAGACTGAAAGAACGCAAATTCACTTTTTAAGCGACGTTCTTGTCGCCGTCACGTCGTTCGATCTTGAAGTCCCTATTAGGCGCCGGAAACGCGAGTATGCGAAGAAAAACAGGTTTAACTCTGACTGGTTAAGAAACTGGCGTGACAAATTTTCCTGCCTATTTAATCGAATGGACGCAGACAACCCAAAGGAACAACCAGAACTCGAAATTACTGTGAGAAAATGGCAACGAAGCTGGTGCTAAATGTACTTTAGTTTGTTATTGTATTTGAGTGGTGCAACAGCTTTGTAGCAAATCTTAACACGAGCTGACAAATAAATCAAATCATCCAATCACAACTCGATCGTAATGGATGTTGCCGGCGCTGAGCGCGGGAAATTGCCCGCAAGCAGGTCACGAGTGGTTTCAATTTCACTTCTGATTGGTGTAAATTGTGGCGCGAGATTTCTCAGCGAATCACTAACGCTAAGCGCGGGAAAACACATACAACGACGCGGAAAAAATGTGTGAGCGCACGACATTATTTTCGACGCTTAGTCTTCTTTATTTGTTTCTAAATGATACTGGCAATAACTTACGTTTGAAATACGTTCATTTTATTTACCTTTAAGTTTCCATCTGCTGTAATTCTAAGTCTGTTGCAGCTACCACAAAAATGCTCGCTCATAGAGGTGATAAACCCAATTTGACCCACAAAACCAGGAATTCTATATGCCTAAGAAAAATTGGGGGAAGGATAAATCGAAGGTGAAGTCAAGAAAGGGCAGCACTAACGGATTTGTCCTAGATGTACAATGTAGATGTAAATTTGGCAGTTTTACTATTTCTTCAAATAGCAGGTGTCATCTGTCGAGTTGTATTCTTTCAGCAGTAGATTGTCTATTTCTTATTTGCAAAATGTGTGGAATATGTGAAACGTTCCGCCATCGCAACCTTGTCCCCAGAGCTTCTCAGATACCCTCCCTTTTTCAGGCATTTATTCTGTATTATTGACGTCATTTTCCGTATTTTGCAATTGTTTTCCAAATTTGGTCAACGCTAGATTAACTAAGGGATTTGAGCCAATCAGAAATGGGGAAATATTTTGCATGGATGATAAATATCATAAAGAAATCTGAACAAATACCTTAGAAGTATCGTTGGGATGGTCACTAAGTCTCTCTATATTGGGCCATTTTTGTGATATACTCTCTAGCATCTCACTGTATGGTACAAATTTCTTTAAGTTCCATTTATTTCCTAGCAACAAAAAAATAAAGCAAGTTAAGCAGTCAACAAATGATTGATGTAATGATAATAAGAACCATGATACAACATTTGGCTTTAAAATGCTTCTGATAGCTGGTGAAGGAATAGAAAACAAAGATGACTATAGAGAGTTGATCAATGCAGATTGTAATTTCAGTCACAATTGTTCTAATTGGACCATCAATTATTTTGTTACTTCAATAATAATCATTAATACTAAACTGAAACAATAACAAATGTACAACCTAGTATATTCATATCTTACCATCAAATGGCATGTATTCTATGAACCTTACATCAAGTGGCTAAAAACAAGAAAAAAAAATATTAATTTAATTAATACCTAATGACTGATATATTATTAAAATACAATGAAAGATTAAAGTGATTATTATTACATAAAAATCATGCGCACATGTATGATTAAGAGATTGCCTAAACTAGAAAACAATGGTGCAGATGAAAATTGGTTCCTTGAAGAAAGAATGTTTTTAACTTGATTTAAGAGCATTAATTGTCTTGAGTCTGGGGAAGCAAAATTTGCATCTGCCACATTTTGTTTCTTGTGTGGATAATCTGAGAAACATTTGTGCCAAGAACAATGTTTCTTAGTTCAGCCAGGCCAAGTAATCAACACAATAGCACCATCAACAATGCCATAGCTACTTACACGAATGTGCGTAGTGCTTTAAGCCAAAAAAACTTACATGCTAACAAGTTAACACAAACAAGTAGTGGATTCTGTTTCAGTCAACTGTACACTGTATTAGTTACTGACCTTATTTTGTGTTAGTGAAACAAAGTTGCAAACTTCATCCTCATTCATTCCTCTCATTACAACACAATTCACCTAAAGAAGAATCAACATGTTGAAACTGCCTCATTTGAACATGTTGGTCAACTGGGACATTGGGCACAAATTCCACCCCCCCTCCCCCACCTCCACCAAAAAACAACACACATTACAAACCACAGGTGGATCAAGGGGTGATCAGAGGGGATTGACCCCTCTCTTTTTCAGTGAAATCTTTCATTATTTTTAAAGAATTTGTTTATTTTGGAGGACGCTTCAAAATTATTAATTCCCCACATCGAAGATCAGTTCGTGGGTTTTGTCATTTATCACTCATCAGCATTGCGTAATAGCTTTATTGATCTCGCTGCATGTTCAGCACGTGGTTTATTGTTACATGTAGTTTAACCTGCGCTGCACGCGTATTGTACACTTATCTCGAATTATCATCTTGCAAGTTTTTGCTCGAACGTGTTCTTGATCCGTTTGTACATTTCCTTTGTACATTTCCTTCACAGAGTTTCGCAGGGACATTGCGTGGTGGCTTCGCTTCATGCGGACCTATAACGGCGTTTCAATCATTTCCTCGCTGGTCTGTACTGCTCCCGACGCCGTGTTCTCCACTGACGCATGCTTATCGGGATGTGGTGGCTTGACACAGTCCCAGTATTTTCACGTTCAGTTCCCCGCCGACGTTCTTGCTCGGTTTTCCGAGATTCACCTTTTGGAAGCGCTCGCTATCTTGGTTGCTCTACGTTTGTGGGGTCACCTGTGGGCCGGTTGCCGCATTCAAGTCTTTTGCGATAACGCTGCCGTGGTTTCTGCACTCACTTCAGGCAGAGTGAAGGATCAGTCGCTAGCCGCCATTTCGCGTGAAATCTGGTACCTCGCAGCCTCTCATGACTTTGAACTGCGCGCAGTTCATCTCCCCGGTGACGAGAATCGCGCCGCAGATTTATTGTCTCGTTGGCATATTGACAGTAGTTTTGAGGCACGTTTCAAGCTACTTCCCGTGTTCTCACGTTTGAGTCCAGTCCCTGTGCCTCCTGATGTCTTCACAGTTTATGATTATTAATTAGCCTTTCTTACTTCTTCTTTATTGATAGATCGTGAACTACGAGAACTGCGGCGAGATTTAAAGGTCACTCGCAAGGCCGCCTTTGCGGCAGGGACACATAAGAACCACCTCACGCAGTGGCGGACATATTTATTGTTTTGTTTATATTTTTCGTTCGATTTTCTACCAGCCACGGTTGATACCGTTTGTTTGTTTTCTCAATTTTTAAGTAGATCCTTAACGCCGGCCTCGGTGCGTAATTATCTTAGTGGGCTCAAGTTTTTACACGTCGCTTTGGGTCATGATTTCCCCTCGCTTCGCACCTTTTCCATTAGAATTACGCTTCGTGGTATTGACAGGATGGCGTTACATTGCCCTACGCGCGCGCCTCCTGTCACGCCCTCCATTCTGTTTTCGTTGATTCAGTTGTCTCGTAGTGTCGATTCTTCCCCAGAGTATATCACCTTTTCGTGTGCCTTTTTGTTTGCCTTTTTCCTTATGGCACGTATTTCTAACATCGTTCCTCTTTCTACGCGATCTTTTGATTGTCGTAAGCATTTGTGTAGAGGGGATATCGTTTCAGCCCCCCATGGTCTCACTGTCGCTTTCAAGTGGTCTAAAACTAATCAGACTGGTATACGTCATTTGCTTTTGCCTTTAGTTGCTATGCCCAATTCGCCCTTGTGTCCCGTTAAGATGTTTCACAGAATGTGTGCTCTCACTCCGGCATCGCCCATGTCACCCGCATTTTTTCTCTCATCTCCGGACGGCTCTCTTTCCCCGGTTATTTAGCGTCAGTTCGTCCAGGTCTTTCGTGAGCGTTTATTTTCGGCAGCCATTCCCCACGCGCACACATATCGTGGACATTCTTTTCGCAGGGGAGGGGCGAATTGGGCTTTTCAGTGTGAACTTCCTGGAGAACTCATTCAAGTTTTCGGGGACTGGTCCTCCGACGCCTATAAAAGTTATCTAGAGTTCTCCTTGCCGGCTAAGTTACGAGTAGCTCAACGCGTTAGTTCTTCGCTTCTGTTTTCTTAATTCGTTGTGTTATGTACTTTTCCGCAGGACACACCATTTTGTTGCGCTTGTTTTGGTGGGCAGAGAGCTTTATTTCTTCGGGTGTTTTATCGGTTTTTCGCTTTACTTGAAGTAAATCTCTCTTTATGCCAAACAAATGGTGTGTCCTATTTTATTGGTTGTTAGTTTGCTTAGATATCCCCGGGGAATTTGTTTATTTTGGAGGACGCTTCAAAATTATTAATTCCCCACATCGAAGATCAGTTCGTGGGTTTTGTCATTTATCACTCATCAGCATTGCGTAATAGCTTTATTGATCTCGCTGCATGTTCAGCACGTGGTTTATTGTTACATGTAGTTTAACCTGCGCTGCACGCGTATTGTACACTTATCTCGAATTATCATCTTGCAAGTTTTTGCTCGAACGTGTTCTTGATCCGTTTGTACATTTCCTTTACCCATCCCTCCCACCCCGATGGTGGGCAGAGAGCTTTATTTCGTCGGGTGTTTTATCGGTTTTTCGCTTTACTTGAAATAAATCTCTCTTTATGCCAAACAAATGGTGTGTCCTATTTTATTGGTTGTTAGTTTGCTTAGATATCCCCGGGGAATTCTCAGTAAAATAAATAGAACAGTTGAACCTCCCGTAAGCTACCACCCAAAATGCAAAGACTTAGTGGTCACTTACAGGAGGTTAAAAACAACGGAAAATCATTAAACCGTCAGGCCCAAAAAGTGGTCGCGGTCACTTACAGAAGTTGGTTGTTTAACAGAGGTTCCATTAACTGTAAGGCGTTGGGGAAAGTTTTGGTGTTTTGAATAGACAGTCACTTATGGGAGGTCGTTGCTAATTATGAGAGGTGGTCGCACATGGAGGTTCTACCACATCTGTTTTGCAGACAAGCATCCTGCCACCCACCCATCCCCCTTTTTCTGAATTTTCTCACTACGCCCAGTAGAAATACGGTTAAATAACAAGTCTGTGCACTAAGAAAAACTTACCTTAACTGGGTCATAACCAAGTTCTAAGGCACAGTCTGTAGACTCCATAACTTTATGCCAACCTAGAAAAATGGACAACCTCGTGTTACAATCAATTAATTCTTCTTTGCCTACTAAATTTTTTTGTAATGAAACGTAACAGACAAAGTATTAAGGAAGTCTGACCCGTACTTTTCCAAAAATAACTCTAAAACAGTTTTATCTGATTTATATACTGTAAATCCTTTCTCTCCTTTTGTAATCAGAAATTAAATTCAGGTTAAAATTTTTTAACCTCAATTGATTCTGAATTTTCTTTTTCTCGTAACCCTAATTATTCTTGAATTAGGGCTAGGAGACAATGGAAATTGACAAGCAACCTAGGTTTAAAAAAATTTAACCTTAATTTAATTTTGACCTACCCTAGACAAACATGTACTACATAAAAGAATGTAATATTATTTCCAACACATAATTGACTGACCCACCAAGATTAAATCTGGATACCTGATCTTGGGCCTGCCCACTTTTGTGACACTTGAATTAACGAAAAATGAAGATTTACATTTTATTATTATTTTTTATTGTTGTTGTTTTTGTTACATGTTTTGCTTAAAAACAGTGAAAAATCCTGGTCTGCTGAAACCCTGGGATTGACAATGTCAATTAAAGGAAAGCAATTTTAATAGGCAAGAATCTTTGCTCCACATTGTCTCTCCTCATCCAGGTATACATGCATGACCCAGCAATGAAAAAGCACCCCTTCCAGGGGTGGGTGGGTGGGGGGTTGGGGGTGTGGGCCTGATATTTTGAAGAGATAATTTATCAGAAAAGTTAACAACCACCTAGGTTACAACGATTTCCTACATTACTGTATTTCTGCTGACTTAAAGTGACGTTTTCAAACATTACAGATTGAAGTGCATACCTTTTCTCCGAGTTATGAACTCAAACTTCTGTGGTACTAATGTATCAAGACTAATGTTGAGTAAATTTAGTCCTGCGTCTTTTAGTTGAGGCAGCTTTCTTGACAAGGTTATACCATTGGTTGTCATAGCTAATGTTTTTAGTCCCTCTATTCTACCCAGTTCCTCTGTTGATAACAAAATCAAGATGTAAACATTGCAATAGTAAAAAGACTGTCTTGACCCTAACCAGGACTAACCATAACTTACCCTATCAGGGCTTGAAAAAAGTCCCGTCTGATAGTTTGGGACGAGTAGATTTCCTTGCTGGGCATTCACGTAAATTCTAAAGCTTAATTACTTGCTCAATAGGCAAGGCTGTAGGCAATTAATCCTCTAACAAAATCATTAATTTATATGAGCAAGAAGGGGCCCAAGGCAAGAAAAATGTGATAAATGCTTGCCCAAAGGACAAGCTGGAATTCAAGTTTTTTTGGAGCCCTTGTCCAGCTATCATTACACACAAACTAGAAATGAATAATATCTTATATTGTTTGCTTGTTTTGTTTCCACTAACAGGATGTACATGTAAGCTGGTGGCCGGGATGTGTTGTTCAGCAGGCCTTAAATTTTCAGTATTAATTCCAGATGTGGACTTAAATATTCAGCTATTTTTGTGGAATTTAGGAGTCCAACAATAACATAAAAATATTTAAGTACCATTTATTACATAAACGCCAAAGAGATACCAGGTGAACTTTCGCGCGAAAACATGATATCTTCACACGTGAAAATATAATGTTATCCACACACATGAAATATTTTTGCCCCAAAATCAAAACATGCACGCATAAAAGTTGAAAGTCAAAATTCATCTCCTAGAGCATTGAAACAACAATGTCTCTGCAGCTAGGTGAAACATTTTTTGGTTTTAAGATACAGAGACCTGTCCAATGGGTTCTCCATACCTCAACACTTCTGCTTTTCAAATACAATGAGCTACCTAAAATCTTTTTGCTCCCCTAGTTTCTAAAGGCTTGCTACAGCCCTGGATTTCTTAGGCCACTGGAACTGGAAATTTGGCAATCACTTACATAGCAAAACAATCTATTTTATAATTACTTACCACATAGCTCCACGATGTCCTTTCTTACTAATGGCTCACCGCCAGTGAGCCTAATTTTGTCTACTCCTTCTTTAACAAAAAGTCTAGCTAAAGCAATAATTTCATCGGTTTTTAAGAGTTCATCATTTGGTGTCAGTTCAACACCATCTTCTGGCATGCAGTACTGACCTAAGGAAAGAAATTATTTTTAGGTTAATTGAAAAGTTGCCTGGAATAAAGCTTAAGGTCACGGCTGATAGTCATCTATATTCTCCCTCCATTTGCCTTGTATGTGTGGAAAAATCAAAAGAAGAATTTGCCATTAGATCAGGAGCCTCTGAGGTAACCTAGAATAAGCCACACCCATAGATCAACTGTACCCCAGACTTTAGAAGAATAAATAATTGCGCAAAATGTGGAAGGATATTAATGGACAATTCTCAGCACAGCACGCAAATGAGCTTCTGATTTAAAATTTTACAACAAACTATGTGGCTTTTGCAATGCAACGTTATGCTAAAAATCATAATAGCTATATAATTTACTCACTGAATAGCAATACAGTATATTTTCAAGAAGTAATACTTACATCTTAAATTGCATCGTTCTGTTAGTGAAATCCTAAGATACGTGTGTTGCCTTCCAAATTTGTCAGTGAGAAAGTCTGAAAATGGTCTCAGTTCTTCTTCTTTAAAATACTTCTTAGTTCTTGACAGATGCAACTGAAAGAAAGTAAAAGAGAATACCAAAGACTCAGTGCTATCAATTTTCTGACATCATTTCGACAAAATTCACTCTGACAATAACAGCAAATTACAGTGAAAAGCACTTTTGTAAGCTAAGGTTCACAGGAACGTTTAAACTATTGACTCTCAATGATTGAATAATGGAAGTTGAATGCATTTTCAATAAATATGTCAGAAACAAAAGGCATTATGTATTAAACCAGATGGGTGTGGGGAAGGTGACTGAATAAACTGAGGGAGCTGCAAGCGAGCGTGAAGGTAACCATGACAACCCTGTGAGCGGTAACCACCAGGCACCGTGACACTGAAAACCTCAGTGGAAAATTTTCAGATACTTACCAAGACCCACACAGAGGGAGGGAAGGGTTGGGAGCAAAAGGCAAGTGAAGACAATGCGTGTGAAATGACTTGACCTCCCAAGCAGTGCTGTAAAAATACTGGGGCCCTGAAAAAGCCCTAAGCCTGCAACATATATGATATAGCCACAGAGACCACTGGCCCGCATTGTCTTGTGTTTTCACCTTGCTAAATTACATTTAGCCACATTAAACTGGCCTTCTACTAGGTGATTGAGAGGATAAAACTTAACAACTTGTTGAAGAATAAGGCTATGCCTACAGTATACAGGGGCACCCAATGAGAATATAGTTCAAAACCACTCAAACATAGCATTTTTAAACATATTTTAGTATTTCAACGGCAGATATAGGCATATTTTTATGCCCTAAAAATTTTTCATCCGTTCGGATTTCCTAGCTGAAAGTCTAGTGATCCGAAAATTATAGGGATCAAAACTTACCTTTTCGAAAATTTCAGCCAGAAAAAAGGCTCCCGAAAATTCTAGGTGACCTTTTTAGGGTAAAAATCCGTTAAAAATAGGCAATTCTACCATTTTTTAGATGTGCGAAAATCCTAGGAGAGACGGGCAAGCAAGAAATTTTACAACAAATGTTTCGAAAATTCTAGATCTCAAATCGTCTTCCGAATGGATATTCTTCCGAAAATTGTCGTTGGGTGCCCCTGAGTATACTGGATAGCTCTTGTCCGTCCCTACACAGAATTCAGATTGGATAGGGCCTCTGTTCACACACGTGAACTGTGATTTTGGTAAAATTTTTGCTGTAACAAAGGGAAGTTGCCCCATGCCAATCTTGAAAGTGGATCATCACATATCGCATGAATAAGTTTCTAAGCCACTCTTTGAAACAGTGTGAACAGGTGTCAACCGGATAGCAAATTTTAATGTTGACTGGAAAAACTATGCAGCATGGTGTGACATAGTTCAACAAACTGTCACATCTATTACTGTTCATTAACAACTAATTTGAACAGTAAATTACACTTTTAGGACTGTGAGCAATCCAACAGGAATTTCTGCAGTCTTACTGAGCCTCCGACTAAATTGCCCTCTCCAGTATGGCTCTGCCTCCACTTGGCTGATTGAAAAGGCTGGGGACTGCTCACAGTCTAAGGAAATCACAATTTTACTATAAAATACATTGAGAGACAAATCATTTTGTGTGTTAATTACCCCACAAAAAGGTTTCAGTTGAATAAATTACGGGTAAAAATATCATTTTGTACAGGGAATAGAAGAGAATATATCTGGAGCAACTAAAAAGTTGCCCTGTATTCTGTACTTATGCTAAGACCAACTATTTCAGTTTCACACACTATACTTTATTTTCATACACATATTTTGCCGTCTCTGCCCGCAAATAGCAAAAGCTAGACGAGGCGGTGGAGAGGAAAGGCTACAGCAGTCATAACAGATATTACAACATAGCTAGAAAATTTGCCTAATCAAATTCAATAGCGCGAGCATGCTTCCTATTCCTATTAAGCATGCTGATGACGTCAATAAACTAATCGTAATTCCTCAAGTTGTTGTGAGCTTAGCAATCCTAAGTCTCCTGAGTGCATCCACAACTCAGCTGTACACTTTGAAGCATTTTAATACCATGTGTTTTGTAAGGAAATTTAAGAGGAAACGTCTGAATTTGCTAACCGATAGTAAGGAAAAGAGGTGAGTGTTGTTGTTGTTGTTGTTGTTGTCTCTGCAAGCTGTGCGGGCTATGGCGTGAGATCATTCTTTGCAAAGTTGTTTTCTCTCAATAACAATTTTTCGGTAAATTAATAGTTTTCCAGCACCTACATATGGATTTTACAATCATTTTAGAGTACACTTTCTCTGAGTTTCAGGATAAAAACATAAGCTTAAGAGTGAGGGAAAAAAATATACTCACGCAAACATTGACGCATACTGCTTTGAGTGCGCCCTACAATAATAAACTCTTAAGTTAACTGCTGCACTGATCACTTTGATAATGTTATAAAACAATAGCCCCTATGCATGATTACGTCAGACGAGTAAATTTCACCAACAAGCCTCGTTTGTGAACAAAATTTTTTGCATTTGCACTTGCACGTTTTGTGCGTGGGTATTCTTTTCAACTCTACTGCCTTGGGAATTCATTTCTGTGAAACTTCGCTTATTTTTAATTTCAAAACGAGGCTTGGTGGTGAAATTTGCTTGTGTGACGTAAACATGCATAAGGGCTATTAGTTCATGCTGCAGCTGTGCGTATGTTGAGATATTGAGCACTTGGGAAGTTTGGAGAGCACTCAAGAGGCTAGAGTTGCATTCGGCTGCGCCTCTCTCGTGCTCTCCAAACTTCCCGCGTGCTCAATAGGCTGATTTAGCAACAGAACGGGAACGACATATGAGAACGGGAAAGCGCGCGCCAAGGACTATACTCGACTTCTGGTGCCCAATTTGCCACTCTGCCATTGGTCAAGCCAGTTGTTTGATTTGCGCGCACCGTCGTCAACTGACGTTCCCGTTCTCTTGCTATATCAGCCTATCTCGACATACGCACGCTGACGCATGACGCAATAATTGTTAAATATTGTAAAGTAACTGAATAAACCATATGGATAAATAAGAATTACAGAAAAACAAGCTGAAGTTACAAAATATATAGTCTTACAGAATGATATTACCAGACAAATTTACTACCAACAGAACCTATCAATTATTAGTGCATTGATCATGAGTCGAGGATGTAGAATTTGCCATTTTTTGTAGGAGAATACGGGCACTTCAACATAATCGTCCTCTGCTTCCATTATCGAGAGCAAAAAGTCATGAAAATTTGTTTTTATCTTTAGTATAACAAGTATAACGGTTCCAAATGCCAGTTGTTCAATTGTGAGATCAGAGTTTCACGTGAGTTTCTGTAGATCACAGCAAATTAATATTACGACATCAAAATCCAAAATTATATAATAGTTAATGAACATTACATTAAATGTGAAAAATACTCACCTCACTGAGTTCGTAGTCCTCCGAAGGTCTCGTGTACTGTTGTCGAACGAAAGAACTTGCAACTCGATAATATTGAACACGGACCTTTCGACTGTGAGGGAGAATGCAACGAAACAAACACTCAATCGCCGCCATCGATCGTGCCGCGAGCTGAGGCCTTCCCGCGTGTCAGGCGCAAAAAGGGGACGGGGAGGGGGGAGGTATGCCGTACGAATCCCCGCCAAAATTCATGGTTTGTATTTTTTAAAAATTGCTCATTTAAATTTTCAGATATTGCAACAGAACGGGAGCGACATATGACAAAGGGAAAGCGAAATGCGGCGAGTGAGTATCAAATGCAAAATTGGCATCTCAGTCAAATGTAGAGTGCTGGTTCAGGCATCAAAACTAATAAAAAGTAGCAGTGTATAAAAATTTTTTTGTCGAGTTGAAAATGTAGAGCGAACAAGGTCAAATAAAAAAGTTGAGTTTAAAAGCTAAAAGGCAAGTGTAAAAACGTTTTCTAATGATGTGAATTCTAAAGGAACTGAGTGTAAAATATTGAACTCAGCTGTAAAATTCAAGTGTTGAAAAGGCGGTCTAATGAATATCGGCATCGTAGTTACTAAAACATGGAGCGACCTAAAACCACCTAAAACCACCTAAAACCATCTACAACCACCTCAAAAAGTTCAACAACCACCTAAAACCATCTACAACCACCTCAAAAACATCTACAACCACTCGCAAACAATCTAAAACCATCTAAA